CCCAGCCACTCTACTAACACAGAGTAGTTGTAAAAAGCAGTTTCAATTAAGCTTTATGCTAGTTAAAAATCTTGTAGAGCAGAGAATAGGGGAACATGGATACGACACAGATAATTTAAGCCATTCAACATTTAAAAAGCACTATCTTAAGAAACAAAGCAGGAGAAAAAGTGACGCAGAACTCCAACAACATCTATGCTCAGTGTGCAAGTGTGGTCAACAATGTGAACAAGTTACAAGCAGACACAGGGATAGGATACATGCAGACTAAATTGTGGCACACTTCCTCTCCTCCACATGCCCCCAACAAGCCTTCCCAGTTTCAATCTATATTAAAAGGTGAGTTTGAGAAGAAGAATAATGAAAACACCTAATGGAAAAGAAAAAGCTCTCTTGTGATGAGACACCACACAGATAAGACATTTCTTACAGAAAGCTGAAGAACAGGAGGGTAAATGGTAAGCTATATAACAAAAAATTAACTACCAGGAATACCAGAAGCCTGCATCATCCTAACAGAAAACAAAACAAAAAATAGAACAGATGTGGCTAATACTGAAACCTAATTTTAGAAGTGCAAGAGGGACTGCATATATTTAAAGAAATACAGTAACAGTTATTTAAAAAGCAATGTTACTCGATCAAAATCTCTCTGACAACATAAGGCAGAGCAGTACCAAGAATTTAGTCAAACCATCGCACACAGTCTGCTGCTATCACAAGTGGCTGCACTACATCTCTTTCATGACATTAAGAAGTTAATATTTCTTCTGATATAGCCATTCCTGAAGTAAAAACTCATACCAGAGCTTGTATGAATGCTAAATGTATCTAGTTATAGAATGATCACTGCTAATAAAGCTATGAGAAAAGACAACTCATCAAGTTGGGTGCACACGAGCAACTACTGAAAGAAATATTATTAACTTCATTACTGCAGGATTTTGCAAATTCTTAAGCACCTCATGCTAATCTTACCCGCCAGCTGCATACCAGCCTAGAGCCATGATATAACCCATTATTGCAATCGTCGAGTTCCTGGTAATTCTAAGAAGACATCCTTCACAGAGAAAAAGAATATACTTCGGAGTCAGTCTTAACACTTCCTACAGTGAAATTTGAAGCAGCCTAAACGGATAAAGCAACCTAAATAATAAGAAAGTTTTCCCCTGTAAAGGCTACTTCAAAAACTTAGAAATTAAAATACCATTTAAAGTGTTCTATTCAGAAAATATCTCTGGTTCAATATTGAGGGAGCTCATGTTTACTGTATCTCAAGGAATTCTCTAAGTGTGCTCAATTTAAAATTAAATGTATTTATCACCTGGTTTGACAGGTCTGCAGCTCGACCTTGACTTTTGTCAAAAGCTATTATTTCTGCTCTATGCATCACCACTCTGAAGAAGTTCTCAAAGTGGATCTCGGTCAAAAGTTCTGTAGAAGACATGAGACAGAAAACAACATGATTTACTCTTACCTTCCTAATCAGTTTTTGTGGAGCTCTGAAGAGCAGGAAACAATAAAAACATTTCATTGGTAATAACTACTATAAAGGGAACACCGAACAAGCTGAATGAAACCTTAGTAAGAAAGTAGTACCCCTCCTACAATTAGGCCAATGATTCCATACACACCATAACGAAGAGCAATACAAAATTATTGCATCAGATATTTTTAAGTACCTCCTCACTACAAGACCTTTCCATCTTTTGCTACATGCTTTTATCATGAACTTCTCTTATTCACCGTTGATTTTTTCCCCCCAAATTATCCTCTATTTGGGGCAGGGGAAACAATCTTCTCTCCTCAAATCCAACTCAACTCAGCCCAGACTTCTAGACGGTTTTTGCCCCATTCACCTGCTGCTATCATCAAAGCTCATATTCGGCTGTCAACTCTCCCTTGTACTAACACGGTTGTGAATCATAACAAATTTCTTGCTACCAAAATAGTATTTTCCTCTCACTAATTTTATTATTATAATATGCAGCACACTCAGGGCTCTACACATATAGGAGAGCAGTTGCTTGAAAATTTTTACCCTCTAAAATCCTAGTGAGATTGGTTTAGCTTTCTTTCTCATGAGCTGTGTGACGGGTAGGGACAGATGATCACTCCTCTCCTTGTTTTCTCTCTAATACCACAGCTCTTCTCCTCCTCCTCCTCTCACCATTTCTGCTCAAAATATTGCTTCCTGCATCAGGTTATAACCCTCCCTGTCCTTATGTCATTCATGAGTTTTGCTTTCAATTCCCTCTTCTCTCACCTTACAACCTCCCTTTAGGGGACAACACCCATTTCCAGTGTTTTCAGATAATCGCTTTACACCTGCAGCTTGCAGCACTCTCTTGCCTCCTGTTTTTCATTGGCACTGCATCTTCAAGTATCTTTCAAGCCTCCAAATACATCCATTTAAAACATAACCAACTCCAAACACAGCACTTAGGTCTGACACACCCTGAAAAGCCACAAAATAGCCTCTGGTGACCTCAGTTACCTGGTTTGCTTAAACCATCTAAAGATGTACCAGGGCAGAGAGGTATGTGGAAGGATTTACTATGTTTTGCACTAGTTAGAAGAATGTTATCCATACACTACAAGAGAATTTTGTTTTTCCTGGAACAAATTACAATATCCATGTGTGCGTTCGTATGAGGGGAAAATGTGCTATAGGTAAACATGAATAATAAAAACAAATGAGCCACAGGACAAAGCATCAGGTTGTGTACTGTAGTTTCTATTCAAGAATATTTTGGTTTTGTAGGTTTAAGAGACCCATACCATTACTGAAAACCTTTCTTGTATTTATGCTTTCTATTATGTTCAGTAGCTATGAATTTGGAGTTATAAGTTTTCTAAAAGCTGTATGAAATTACAGTGCTGAATGATTTGAATAATAGACTGCCTGACATATTCCAAGATAAGTGGCTGCTACATTTCTTTGATATTAGGGTCATATACTGTACTTATCTATTTTTACTCCATGCTCTCCATTGCCTAGTAATAAATTAATTTCTCACTGTTAGTTTGGCATGTGCCCTACAGTTAAATTCATTTTCTCTCCAATTGAAGGAAGAAAAAGTTTTCTGAAGTATGACAACTATGCTCCTTGTTTTCAGAATTAGTCACCTCAGACTAAATTGAAAATACTATTTTAAGAGGGACATTCCCTCACAAAGTCTTAAAAGCCGTTTTCATATTTTCATTTTTAGAAAATTACCTGATAGTGCTGATCAACATGTGACAATAGTTATTTAACTACTTGCATGCAAGACCTTTTACAATACAATTGTTGAAAAGAACAATTTTTAACCTCGGAGTTCAATTTTTGTAGCTTCCTGGTGCACAAAGCTCTGCAATGTAAATCTGAAGTTATTATCAACAGCAATGAGAGTTGAGCTTAGATATGAAAACAGGAAACATGTAATCACTACCCAGGCACCACCAATTGGTTCTCATATGATTTTGGCTTTTCTTATATGATTTGTGGTTTTTTTCCAAAGCAGGGATTATGAGGAAATGTTCCAGCTTCTTTAGTGGTTCCATGTTTTACCAGGGACTCAGCTGCACCAAGAAAGAGGCATTTAGGAGAATCAATCCTTTCATGCAGAACTTTTCTGCTGTTCAGCCTACAACTTCAAGCTCAAACTTCCTTTCTGAAGGATCAAAGATGATAAAAATGAAGTAAAGCAAAGACATGCTTAAGCTAACTTAGAGCTAGGAAAGCAGATGATTGCCTGTATTTTGAGCTGTCAAAGTCATAAACAGTGACAAAGAAACAATTGCGGGATTGCAATCAGGGAAATAACGAAACAGTTGTAGTTAAACTCAGGCTTGCCACGTAACACTGCATACCGCACTGCAAAATGACATGGAAGGGAATTCCCGCCTTTTCAAGCCCTGTGCCACGTAAATGACTACACGACACATAAAGTGACGACCTATTACTGCTCTGCTTGAAATTTAAACTGTGTCATAATCTTAGATAAGGCTAACATCCAACACATTATCTGAAAATCTACCTTTTCAACAACAAATTCAAAGCCTGTAAACATGGAACTGAATCATCAGCTAAAATATTTTATTTCTTGAGGACAATCATTCATGCACATAAGAAGTATTTGATTTTGCAAATCCAGCACATAATCAGAAATTATTGAAGTTGCAGAGAACGTTCTATACACCGGCCTCATTAGGAACAAGGCTAAGCTAAAAAATGCCCCTTACTCTGGTATTTTTTTTGGTCACTTACAAGAGTGAGTATCCTGTATTGTACTGCTACAATTCCTTATTACAAATCCCTATTGGACACACAAAATAACTTAAAAAAACCCAACCGAAAAAGAACACCACTAACTACTATCCTTTCTCCTAACAAAGGAATGCCCTCTACCTCTATGACTTTGCTAACCTTAATTATACCTATAGTTTTGAGATTCCCTAATGGAAAGTGCTACAAAGCAGAAAGCACTAACAGAATGAATCATGACACATAGTGATACACCACTGATTGTAAATCTATACCTTTTTATTTGCACCCCGGGGCTATGCTTTGTCTACTCATGAAAAATTACTTCCAAGTAGCAAAACGTCATAATTGGAGGCATGTATGGTAAACAGACAGGCTAAGAATTAACAGGTACATGATTTTCTTGTAGTTTATTTTTGATAGTGTAGCAACTACATGATTTGAAAGATGTGTACAGTTTGGATTATTAATTTCTGAATTAAAGTTTCCATGAGGCAGAGAAAAAGTCAGACTAAAAGAGGTTTAAAATCCCTCAAGGCATCCTTCTCAGACATGCAATATTCATACTTTTCTCCATATTTCAGAATGTAATAATTATAGATCAAAAAAAAGCTGCTAGATTTGCATGTAAATCAGAACTTCACATAAGACCTTTAAAAAAACTGCACTTTATAACGACTGCTTCAAAACCATGTGAAATGCTTGAATTAAGACACACATACACACTCCCCATTTTTTAAAGGCTACTTACATCAATGACTGATGAACTCGACAGGCTTAATCCCTCTAGGTCTGCCGCTAAACTTGCCGGCAAAACAGTGACTGTAGGAACTGCCACAGGAGTTGTCACATGACAGACTAGAAGTAAAATGACAATTGATTTAAAAAATATACTGGGAAAGACAATGGGCTCTTTTCATTAAGTTTAAAAAGGTTTTATGTCTTGGTCTAATTATTTCATCCCTGCATATATGTTTCTTAACGGCAGAAGACTGCTTTTTCAGATATACAGCCACCCAATATACAAAATAAACAAAGAAAATATAAATAAAACTAGTATATATATAGACCATGTTACTAATACTAAAAATAATTTATCCTCCTTTCCCAGTTTTTCCTTTATTTTACCCTTACTATGCAAGTTCTGTGCAAAGCGCATACTGACGTGTTGCACCTATAGAAGTACACTTGAAGAATGGCGCTACAAAGCATAGCCAACAATCAGTGCCAGCTCTGCTCTACCTTTCCAAGACTACATTTTAATCTGTTCTTCAAAACTGTGATTTTTAGTATCTTATTAAAGTACCACAATTGGTTCACAAGCTGCACAGATGTCATACAAGCAACATCCATTGACATCTAACAAAAAAAGCCCAGTTCAACAGAAATTCAAGTCCAGACATAGAAAAATCCTCAAAATTAGTATTTTACATACCAATACATTTTAAACTTTGAAACTATTTCACAGTTCTAAACCAAATCCACACATTGTAATATTTATGCTTAAAAATAAGTTGATAGTCTAAGCAATTTTTCTTGGGGGGTCACGAAGCTGGTATGATAAAAGAATTGGTGTTTCAGACATTTAAAATTCATTGAATTAACTCAATTGAATTTATGCCATGGGAAAAATGAGACTTTAATCAAGATACTTACAATCATCTAAATCTAAAAGAAGCATATCTTGTTTATTTGGAGCTTTTCTATCTTGAACTGGTTTTTCTTCTTTCTGTCAAAATACGTGAATATTTCATTTTTTAACATATTGGCAAAAGAAAAGTATTTAATAACTTTATAAAGTGTATTTTCTCTGCTGTAAAAGAAAAACATATTTTCAGGGGTCAGCATTTAGAGTATTCACCTAGTGAGAAAGACTTCTACAGCTGAACCTAATCCCCACATTTGAGTTGTGTTTACTTCTCTGAAACCCATTATCTTCATTTAATAACAGTTGCTACTCAAAGAAAAACTTCAGGTGATAGATCAGACACTTCTGTTGAGACCATCAAAACAGAGAATGCTTTTTTTTCTTTTTTTTTTAAGACAAAAGTCTTATCTATTAGCATTTCTGTTTCTGTATGAAAAACATGACCAAATCCATTTAATAAGAAAGTAGTGTTAGTTGCATTTATCTAGAGTATGAAATCCTGTTGCATCATCTACTGGGATTTTACTTCACCGTTGTCACAAAGTTTCAGTTTTAAGCCTTGAGGGGAGTTTTAATAATAAGGACTGGCAGTACTTTAAAGAGTACAGCAGTAACAGAGTTATCTCAGTGACATGGCAAACGGAGTATGTCAACAAAATTTATTTCAGTAGAACTAAATAAAAAGTTCTAAACAAACTTAGTGAGAGTTAGTGTTGGTCATACCTACAGAAAATGTCTAGACAGTGATGATTGAGGACAGAATTTAGTGTGTCACAGTTCAATACTGATTCCAATTAGAGTGGTTTAGTAAAAAGGATTGATCTTTAAATGTAGCCAGAACCTGGACACATTACCTGCTGGGTGCTCATCAGGCAGTTTGTCATCACGCTATTCCTGTCCACTCTTATGCACCCTTTGTCTGGATTGGCTGGCGATCTACTTCTGCCTCTGCTCTCTCTTGGCTTGCTCATCAGACAGAAGGCTTAGTTTTAGTTGTTCTTTTAGAGAATTTGTCAATTGCTTTTAGACCTTCAGACATTGATCACTACCCAAGTTATTGCAAGTAACTGAAACGTAGTCTTTTTGAAACTGTAACGTAGTCTCTCCAGGAGTCACAGTTCTGTGAACCTTCTAGTTTACCATTCTCCTCTTCAACAGCACATGACAGCCAAATACATAAACTATCCTTTTATCTTTTCTGATGAATATGTCTCAGTAAATCAGTAAAACACCATATAACCATCTGAGCCTCCATTTCTTGGGTATTTCTTGCAAGCTATGAGTCTCTTTTGGCACTCAGGATACAAATTCCTATAGGAGCTTGGATACTTCTCAGAAAGCAGCTAAACGTTCTTTGACTATCACTGTAGAATAAAATGACTCCTTCTTTTTAAAGGTGCATTCCTTCTAATTCCCTCAGTCTCATAGTCAGTTGCAAGCTAACAATAATGCCAAGTCTCTATTTTTCCAGTGCTGGAAGAAATGCCAAGGTTGTCCCTGAAGGACATGGAAGAAACTAGCTAATGTTCTCACTATTTTGAAGCTGTTAATGTTAATGACTATCAGACTTGACTTGAGACAAAATGACATGGCTCAAAATTTTCTTCCAAAGCCCCACAGCTCAGATAGATAGTATTCACCTATGTGATCATTATAGATCTGCTGTAGATAACCTGGGAGGAGAAGAATCTTGTGGACAAAGAATGGAAGCCACTATTTTTAAAGTTATTTTAAAATCACCATACTTCAATGGTCATTATCACTATGATACTTGAGTTTCTACTATTGCTGATTTATCTGAAACGCAAAACTCTTCTGGATAAAGGCAATTTTACAAAATAACTTTTAAAAGGCACTAATGTTGTTCCATTCCTTACACGCCTTGCCCAGAATTAGTGAGGGACTCTGCTTCAGAACCCACTCTCCTGAGTTCCATTTGGGTACCAACTAGCAGACTTTATTTTTCTCTTCCAATGTCTTTATGGGCAATTTTTTAAATAAAGCTAAGTATTATACTCCATAGGCCACAGGTTCTACTTAAATTACTTATGTCTATGAAGTGCCAGAGAAACAATTTCATGACAATTCTTTAATGATTTCCAAGTCTTTTTAGAGCACCATTTGGTGAACATTTAACCCTGAATCAGGAGTTTAGCTGTTAACTGTAATACTTTTACTATAAACTATTTGTCTCAAATATTTGCTAAACTACAAACTGTTCAGACACCAGAACATACTAAAAGAGAAAATGGTTGAACAAAATGGAAATACATATATAAAAAAATATACCCACAAATTCTGAACTTTTTACTTCCTAACCCACTTATCCATAACATACAGTTCTATCTTCAACTATGATTAAAGTTCAAAGATTATATTCAGTAAGAGCTCTATATTTGCATTCCCTTTTACTATGAAGCCAATGAAAGCCTAGAAAAAGTGGCTCACCCACATGAACAGCTAGAGCATAAGGATGAGAATTTTGAATATGCTTCAGTTCTGCCAATGGCAGCATTGCTAGGTCAAGATGTTTAAAAAAATTAGGAGTCAGAGCCAAGAAAACCTCTTACTGTTAATCTGTTCACTGAAGACAATTAAGATAGAACATTCTGAGTCAGAAGTAACACTGATAGTATATTTCTGTTTGTTTTTCTGGTATTTCTTTTGCCATTCTGAAGCAGTTAGTAAATGCAAATCAAAAAGGTCAATCTGTAATTTTATAAGATAAAATGCATTTCAGCATTGATATTATTTTGAATCTACTATGTAATTTATTTTTTAAAATGGGGAAAAAACCTTCAAGAGACTTTATTTCTTTAAAATAAAACAAAAATTTTCTATGGTAAGGCACAAATACAGAATTACACGGAAAGAAAAACTTCTACTGCACATTTTATAGGAATACTCTGTGTAAGGACATCAGTTTACTGTGGAATAAACAAACAAACAAACAAATAAACCACAAGACAACAACCAAACAAAAACTACCCTACCATCTTGGAAATCAGATAACTAAATCAAGATAAAGTTAACGTTAAAGTATGATCCCGTCTTATTTTCTGTTTCATTCAAGTGTGTCAAGCTGAAGTAAATAGTCAGCTACTTGCATGTGTGTGTATGCATCCTATATACACACACACAAACATACAAATATTTTTTGTATTTATATGTGTATCTCTATATATGGGTATATATATTAACTGCATGCAATTATGTACCAACCACTGAGGAAATCTATTTTTATGGATCTTGCCTATTACAAGTGCAATTTTTTATAATTTGTTTTTTCCCCGAAAAGAAAACTGATTGGCTTTCTTTTGAAAAATAAATAGCCAATGACTGCAAGAAACACTACCAACAGATATTTCTATTGAATGAAAAAAGCTTTGCATTCCAAATCAATACAATAAAAAGGCTCTGACGTTTCCGGCATTTCTCTAACATAATTTTTCATCTTTTTTTTCTTAAAAGTATGTCTACAATATAACCCAAACAGTTTCCTACCAAGAGAGCCCACTATGAGAAAAATGGAATACTAAACAAAGAAGTTAAGCTATATTCCATCAAATATTTCTCCATTTGCAATTCATCTTGGTAATAGAGATAGAACCTGGTAAATGCATATAGGACTTGAAGCAGGAGATTTCTCTTGCTCAATGCATAATTCATGTGCTCCGCCTGCAAAGTGTGTAAAATGAGAATTTCACACCGCAGCATGAACCATGCAGCTGCAGAGAAAAGGCAGATGAAATCATATTTTGCTGTGTGAATTTTATTTCTTATCCTCCCAATATTTATACAAAACCATCATTGACAATCCAAATGCATTGACAGATCACCCACTGTTTCCATTGTGTTAGCACTTGAAAAGAGATCAGGCAGAAAGATAGACAATTTGTTTTTGTATATTTTTTAAATAGTGGATCAGGTTTTTAACAGCTGAGTGACTGTATTGTACAAGGAGATCAAGAGAAACTGATTTTAAAATCCTGTTGTAGAGACACCTACTTATACATGAATCATCCTCAAATCTGCATTTTACTCTACAGTATTTCTGCTTACAGTATAATATGTACTTGAACACCTCAAACTTGATATTTCAAAATAGATAAACACTGCAGTACAAGAGACTGACTCTTCTATTCACTGCAGCTCAATTACAGCAAACACAACAGCTTTTTCAAAATGATTCGAGAGAAAAAATTTTAAAGCAATAATAATATATTTAGGAAAAATAATTTGAAGTTTTTTGTAACCTATTTTAATCCTCCCAAATGCACTGATGCATGCACAAATTAACGATGTATGCTTCCATGTGAGTGTTACAGAACCCTTTTATTATGAAAATTCTGCTGAACATAGCAACAGTAGCCAACAAAATATATAGATTGGTAAGGACCACCCAAAACAACAGCTATATAACATAGTTTGTAACATGTGGAAATTGATAAACTATAAAAATGGAGCCTACTAACTATTCCTCTTATCAGTGTGTATTTCAGGAAATCTTTTCAGTTTTATTTAAAAGGAAAGGAAATCCAAGGAAAACATCTCCTCATACACACTGACCAAATTAAGAATTACCCTGCAGCAGAATAATATAAGCAATAGCTTTTCCAATAAAAATCTATCAGAATACAATCATGCATTTCTGAGAACCTGACTGAAAAGATCTGCTTCCTGTGTGGCCTGAAAGAAGTCAGGTAGGAAGCATAAAATTACAAGTTTTTTCTGGAAATAAAATAAACACAGGTGGTTCTTGTGGAATGTACCTTGATACAAGTGTTCTATATGAGACTTTATCTATAATGTTCCTTAAAGTTTGTTAACATTTGCTTTTATTTCCAGCTTGGAAGATCTTATCTAGGTTATCATTAATTAGCTCCACATATCATCACATGGTCTTTCTCAAAAAAATCTAGTAAGCCACTTAGCGTAACAATCACCTTTAAGAAAAAATACTTGTGTTTCTGCCCCTAATCTCCTCATCCAATGACACTTCTGAATATAACATAGTATCAGAAAGTATCAGGCAGGTTCTAGAGATAAATAAAACACACCGAAACAGACCTCTGTGTTCAGAAGTACTAAATTAACATGTCTTCTGTACACATGACCGTTGCTGTTGACAGTCCATCAGCCATAGCTTGTTGCCCTTACCTTAAAGGTGCTAATTTCTTAGTGAAAAAGACTACTTGTTTTAATATTTTAGCGATGTTTAAAAGCTTTGCAGTTTTTCAGTTCTACCCTTTTGATCAAGTCTTCTGTCAATTACTTATAAACACTTTTTATTCCTAATACATTTTTTTTAGGTGCCTCTTAATCAAGCAAGACTTCAGGACTACTGCAACATCCTTCCTCTCTGCTTAAAATCCAAGGGCTTGACAATTTTTCATTGAATTCAGAAAAGACAATCCCCAGATTCTTGGGACATTCTGATTCTTGTATTATGCAGTACATTTCACTTCACACATTCCCGACCGCTGTTTTAAAATACAAAAAGCTCCTTTATGCTACTAGTCCTGTCCTTGCATATCCTGTGAAAGGATCAGAACAGCTTAGATAACTGCAGTGAAAGAAATAATGAATAAGGGTGCTGATATCCTGAGAAAAAATGGACAAAAGCAGCAGAGAGAAGAAATCGATGTTTGAATATGGTTTTGCAGTGGCTGCTCAGAACCAAGCAAGTCAGAGTACCTATTATTTTCTGGTGAAAAAATACTGTGCAGAGATGAGAATCTACAAACTCTTAGATCTAATTCACGTCCCATTTAGCATCAAAGGAGTTTATTCTGCGAGGATTTAGGTTAAATTCGTTGTGCAACCATTTTTCAGCAAGAGTTGGTAGTTTGGCTTCTGTATAAAAATTTTTGACAGAGGTGTGTTACCCAGTGTGGTATTTGGGCAGGAAACAATGATAAACCCATGGAAACAAGCTTTCATTTCTCAAATGCTGCAGTCTCATTTCATCTTTTGTTCTACTTGGTAGAAGATGGAAATAGATTAAAAATTAAGGTTAAAACTCAGAGTTCCTAGGACAACCTATAGAGTTACAAAACAAAGACCATGTACAGCACAGAGAGCCTTACCTCCTCAATTAAAGGACACGCATATCAAAACAGCTTCAAAAAAATATAGCCTTCCCTCTTAGCAGCTAAAAGCACACCTGTTCACCAGCTTCTGCAACTGCATCAAATGCAACGATGTCTACTTCGACTACTCAGCAATCTATACAGGGGTCCTGAATGAAATGTCTTGGCTTAATTTAAAATTCATCAAAGGATTACCTAATTTTCAAAATTACGTATCAGTTTTAAAATGGAAACTTCTGAGCTACAATTCTACACTTCATTTTTTTAATAAAATATATAGAAAGAAAATATTTGATAACAGGTACCCTAGGTTTGGATTGGATAGAGTTTATTTTCACGGGAAGCTGAAAGGGGGCACAGCCAGGACAGCTCACTCAAACTAGCTATGGGGACATGTGATACCTTATAATGCCATGCTCAGTATTTAAATGAGGGAGCTGTCCAGGGAAGGAGGGTTCGCAAAAGCAACTCATTGGTTCTAGGTGGCAAGTAATTGCATTGTGCATCACTCACTTTACAACTTCTTCTACTAGTTCTATGGTTATTATTACTTCTTCTCTCTTTGTGCTGTCCCATTAAATAGTATCTCAACCCACGAAGTTCTACCTTTTTCTTTCAATTCTCTCCCTCATCCCACCATGTGAGAGTGAGCACGTGGCTGTGTGGTGCTTAGTTGCTGGCTGGGCTTAAACCATGACAACAGAAAATAGGTTTCAGAAACTCCTTTACTCTTCTACCTTAACATATTCAGAGTGAAGTTCCTCATTTATTTATTTTTAAAATGAAAGGAGGTAGAGAAACAGAAACCAATTTATGCTATTAGCTTCAGTTCTATGATGCTAGCTTGAATATAATGAACTTTAACCTCTTTTTCTTCACTAAGGTAAGCAATTAAAACTTAACTTACATATGAATGTAAGTTGAACACTTCTGTTGAACACTTCTGCACCTTCACACACTTCTGAATCCAATTTAAAAAAAGACATGTTTGAAAGACTGCTACTTCATAAAATCATAGAACGGTTTGGGTTGGAAGGGACCTTAAATATCATCTGTTTCCAATCCCCCTGCCATAGGCAGAGACACCTCTCTCTCACTAGACCAGGCTGCTCAAAGCCTCATCCAGCCTGGCCTTGGACACTTCCAGGGAGGGGGCAGCCACAACTTCCCTGGGCAACCTGTGCCAGTGCTTCACCACCCTCATAGTAAAGAGCTTCCTAATGTCTAACCTAAATCTGTCCTGCTCTACTTTAAAACCACTGTCCCTTATCCTATCACTACAGACCCTCGTAAACAGTCCCTCCCCAGCTTTCTTATAGCCCCCCTTCAGGTACTGGGAGGCTGCTATAAGGTCTCTCCAGAGCCCTCTCTCCTCCAGGCTGAACAACTCCAATACCCCCAGCCTGTCCTCACAGGAGAGGTTCTCCAGCCCTCTGATCATATTTGTGGCCCTCCTTCTGGACCCACTCCAACAGGTCCATGTCCTTCTTACGCTTGGGGACCCCATAGCTGAACACAATGCTATTTACTTCATAAACGTTGTAAGAAAGCTAATACAATCTGAAATACTAGAGTCCTTTGTAAGCTTTATTTCAATAAAACACAAATTAAAAAATGATTACTCATTAAGAATATTAATTCTACTAATTTGTGTATACACCTCAACTAGAGATGCATTAACTGCACTATTCTTGATTTTAACATGGAATTTTAAAACAAAGCGAGTAGCTCTACTAAAACATCTTCAAACTGTTAAGAAACAACATACTAACATTTGTTTCTTGATTTTGCTTCCTGTCATACCTAGGTCTCTGGTAGTTTAACTTTAATATACCAGTAATCCCAAATTTTTGTGAACTACCCATGTGCTATGATTTCATCAGTATAACAGTAATGTAAATAGGCTTTATTATTCTTTATTTATCTGGAGTAAAAATATAACAGAATTAAAACTAAAATATGCTTTTCATTATAAAATAATCTTACTTGCTTAAACTGTCAAACCATTTGGGGATTGTGTTTTTTATGAAAGGTCAGATCTTTTTTTCATAAATTGTATTTTTAGATATCCATAAAATCACTACCCATCTCCATTTCCATAGAAACAAACATGTATATGTGATTATATGCATCTTTTAATATTTTATAGTTGTTGTTTCTTTTTTTGAAAAAAAACAGTGTTTTACCTTATTAGAGGCAGCACTTCTAGGTTTTCCAGACTCAGAGTCACTTTTAGAGTCTGATTCTGACTTAGATTCTGATAGACTTTCATCTGTTGAAATGGACTCTGTATCAGAAGAACTGGATTTGCTTCTCTGTTTGGAGATCTCCATTGCTTTCTTTTTAATATCCTCTGAATCACTATATGTTGAAAAAAAAAATAAGAGACAGGTAAAACCATCAAAGGAGTCTGCTAGACAATATCCTACATTAACATTTCAAAGTTGCATTAAATGAGTTCTAAGACAGTATGAAGTCTAAGTCTTCATAATAGAAAACTCATCTGAGACTGCAGAAGCAGTAGTTTATTTATGGGTACACAAAACTGTTCTATCACATTACACAATAAATCATCACATATAATCTGAACCAGAGAAACAGTCAAAAAAAGTCTGAACATACTAAAGATTAAAAATACTATTTCCATGCATCAAACTTCTGACATCGCAGAAAGTGCAGACATCCTTTTCTTTAAAGAAACCTTCAGACTACTGCACCTACTATTAAGATGAGTTTCAAGATGTTCTTGCAAAGTAACATTGCTTTAAAAAAAAAAAAAAGTCAGTGCACTGAATTTATCCCTTTGTTAATTCTTCTAAACCAAAACACCTAGAATCAAGACCTATAATATCTACAATTATTTCAACCCATTAAAGTATTTATACAGAAGAGCTATGACATCTTTGGTCATATTGAGTACCTTACAACTAATGGACTTCGGAGACACTGTTCTTTACACAGTGAGGTTCTGCTCACCCTGGCAATGTTGGATTATGTTGCTCTGCGCTAACAGCTACTGAATGTTATTAAAATCTGCCTTGTTCGCTTCTAATAACAGTGTAACTACCGATTAGTAGATTACCCTTTTGTCTCAGAGGGAGTTACTATCTAGAAATGAAAATTGTTTTCTAACAGTTGTTAGGAAGCAGATAAATTAGTTTTGCATATTGAAAAAACCCCTCTGTTCTTGGATCTGCAAGCAACCATTTTATACTTCCACATCAGGTGTTTCAAACACCACCTGATTCAGCTTCCTCCCCAAGACAATAAACTGGTTACTAAAGTGCTTGAAGGGTAACAGGGTCAACAATAATTAAACAAATCCAGATCACTCAAGTATTAAGAGTCCCTTTGCTTAGCTTTAGGAGCAATACAAAAGAATGTACTATGCTGCATTACTGTTTGAGATAGTGTTTTTAGAAGCGAAAAGTACAGAGAACGGGAATTGAAAAATCTAAATAACAGAACGGAAAATAGCTACAGTAATGCCTTTCTCCTCCCAAGAACTTCCAAGACTGAATTGCCTAAATCAAGTTTAATCAGAATCATTAAAAATCAGTATTAACATTTAAACCATGCTAATAACGCCTACCCATATAACTGAAGTTGAAATCAACCCCTCAAATTTAGTCAAAAGTATTTTTTTCTGAAAGCAGCAAACTTGTAGCTTGCAAAGCAAAAAATTAAACAAGAGTACACTTCACAAAAACAGTCTAACGTAGCACACCTGATTGTTAAAATCATGGTGAAAAAATACATAGTATCAAAATTATGTTTTAACATACAATATTAAAAAAACTTAAGTTTGAGGTCAATAACCTAAACATAAAAATTAACTAGTGCATACTAGTTAAGATTTTTCTTCATGACACATAACAACTACTGACGAAGTTACCTACATTTCCTTCCTTGCCACTGAACAGAAGCTGCAGTTGAATAAGTTACTGTGAATCCATTATATAAATGAAGATTTTTTCAACAATTTATCTTTAGCTGATCTTTAAAACTAGATTTGAAGATTAAAAATGTTACTTTATCGTATACGTCAGCCAGTTGTGGTGGGTAATCATTGTTTACCTTATTGCTTAAAATTTCAGATGTTATTCTAATGAAAAGAATTTACTGGTAACTAGCTTTTTAACTTTGCAATGATGAAAAGCCTGTATTAATTTAACCTACAGATTTCATTTGTTCTGAACAGGAAAAACAATATAAATCACTTTTAAAATCATTAAATCCTGACTTAAATTAATAAAGTCATAATTAGGGCATTATGCTGTGTTTGTTATGGAAGTGGCAAGGCGAGCTGCTTTAATTACTGTCTGTAATAAAAGGAGCAGAGTGCGTACTGCGCCCCAATCAGCGCTGTCAGCCACGACTGAGCTGAGCTGCAAACTCATCAAGTGAGCTGGCAGCAGACTACAGAGTAAAGGGCGATCATGTCTGCGGAGGCCACTTGCTGACAGCAGTGGAAGAAACAGATTCACACAATCCAAGGTATTAGCCCCAATTACTCAAAATTTTAATGATACTTTAATACATGATAATGCTGTTGATAATGGGCAATCTTAAAAAGCGCTAACACTTAAATATCTTATGACCGTTTCCCTTCACAGTCCTTGCCTCTAATATTTGGATCATAATCTTTTTAATATAACATTATTTAGAAAAATCAATTGTCTTAGTTACATAATGGCAAAGTGTTGAAGGACTTAATTTTAGCTCTCAGCAAAATTGCTGCAAAAGGTAATTAAGTGTTTCGCACAACTGTTTGATCACTTATTCAGCCTCCCAAGGTTACATCAATTTTCAGAAAGCCACCCAAGATTTTACTGAAGTCAGAAATTAATTCCAAACATAAGAGTAGTCTGATTAATGAAAATATTAACCCAGTTAATACAATGTATATTACTGGCAGACCCTAAAACAGAAGACAGCACTCCTTGGCCAATACAATCCCCAAAAAAGCATAATGAAAGGCTTGGCAAACTGTTTACAGAAAGACTGCTTTAATCACAAAAAATTAAAACCATACAAATGCATATCTACCTTTCAGTAGCAGCTCTAGACCTTTCCTTTGCAAGACTTTCTTTGCTGTCTGATTCACTTTCACTTGAATCTCCACTGGAAGAGGAACTCCCACTACTCTCATCATCGGTGCTTTCCTCCTTATCTTCATTCTCACTTTCACTGCCAGATTCGCTTTCTGAAATAAAAACAACTCTTACCAATTTTTTCTAAATATTTTACGTAATTAGTATTTTAGAAATCCAAGATTATTTTAAGTAAAACAGTGTGTTAGTATTTTAAAATCCAACTGCAAGCTTTAGCATTATTTAACCTGTACAATAAGTGAGCAAGAAAATCACTTATCCCTCATGTTTACAAAATTTTGTTGGTCGGTTAAACACCTGTCTTCTTCAGCACACAGTATTACAGTTTATCAAACTAGAAAGGCTGATATAAATTAATTGCATGTAGATTCTTCAAAAATACATAACCTATCAGGAATGGGGTAGGGGGTGAACATCAAATTCTCTAATCTGTACATTCACCTAACTGCAATATTATGTTTTCAACCATTTTTTTAATTAGATAATGTGTTCTCGAATACTGATAATGATAACAAAATCATTGATCTAAACAAATTATTAATCCTCTAACTGATCATATAGTTACCAAATATTCAAATACCTGACATGAAAGTATTCTTTTCCTGCTTCAGAAATCATTAATTTCAGTGATACAAATTTTTAGCACCTCTTCTGCACACTCCCTCAGTTTAGGAATGAGGGGGAAGAAGCTCCATACTCAGATTTTAAGAAGCCCCTCTTCCATCAACTAGATGCTGACAATTTTTTTAAGTCTGTAATGCTACACATTTTCTGTGTCTAAAGTCTGGACCTGGTAGAATTATGTTCTTCAGTGCCTCTGTACTATATTAACATCTACTGAAATGACTGTCTCAGGGAACTGCCTATCCAGCATTAAGTAGAAGACTGGCCAAAAGAAACTTCGCTCACTGAACTCAATGAGCAGCTGTCATTTATCTTCTTCATCTTTCCTCCCTCCATACAAGTACAAAACACTACATAGAACTTGAAAGCAATACTATAACATAATGCACTGAGTAAACCCCATCAAAGACTGTGCAGTTCAAGAAGTCTGGCCATTTATCAACACAGCGGCACACGCTATCAAAATAATTAATCAACACCAAATTCCAGAAAAACATTCAAGACCTACAGTTCCCAACAACCAAGCATATGGACACTCTTCCTGTGAAAAAGTTAGGTGCCTTTAATTTTAATTGGAGTTACAAGCTCTCACTACGCTTGCCAGACTCAAAGCAGGATGAAAATAGCATGCCAGTGTTTTTAACTGGGAAACAAAGCAAAGTCTAAGTGTAAAATATTCCCCAATTCCCTGATTTTATACACAGCTCTGACTTTTTTTTGAAATTCTTTCCAACTCTTTTCAAATAGTGGCCAATTCTGAACATATAGTTCTCCAGGCAGCAGAGATGTAAATTGCTTCCCAAACACCTACCTGATGCACTGATACTGTCAGACTCATCTTCCTCCTCTTCTGATTCAGAGTAGAACTTTTCAGCAGGTTTTTCTTTCCTTTTCTTATCTAGAATTCCAGTCCATTCCTTTGCCTGTAAACAGATTTCAACTGAAGTTTACTTTCACAACCAGCAATACAAAAATGTACACACAAACCAAAGACAACCAGCTGCAGTAGTAGTATTAAGCAGTTTCTAAATAAATCCCCCAAGCAAGTCAAAAGAAACTGTTAAACTTGTCTTAATTTATGGAATTAGGAGAATCAGAAAGGTGAGGTATGTTTATTAAGAGAGTCTAGAAAAAGATTTACTACAGCAAATTAAAAGCATCAATAAAAATAAATAACAAACTTCTATGCCCAAAGAATCTAAAGTACAAAAGTTTTGCCTCTAGATGCATGAGTTTAGCCTCTGACTAGAATGAAGCGTGAATATGGCTGGTCACCACCTTTATCATCCCAAGTTTTAATGGAAAAACAGATGTGGACTCAGCAGGCAGGAGGAATTCCATCAGCTGCAGAGGAATTACATTTCAGTTCCTTTGCAATTCTCCAAAAAAATGGTAATTCTTACCACAAAGAGAATACTAAAACTTGGCAATACTTTGGCTAGACTTTTTTTCTTTCTGTATCTTCTATACTGCTATAGAAACAGAAGAAAAACTCAGACCAGGAAATAAAAACAAATAAGCAGGCACATTTATCAAAAGAATACTACAGGTTGGCCTCAGTGACTGCTCTAATCTGCAATAAGAGTAACTTTTGAAAGAGCTGTGACAGTGACCTGCAATGGTTTATGGTTCTACAGAAACACTGGCTTCCTCTTGAACACCAAAAGCTGCTAAAGCTTTGTAATGCTCCACCCAGCAACTGGTACTTTAAAAAGTAATATTCTTTGGAATATAAATGACAATTTAATTGTGTATTGCAGCTTAAAAATTCAGCTTCACTCACATTGTGTAGGCACATGCAGTATTAGAGGAACCACAGAATTCATGACAATGAAACACTCTCCAAAGGAAATACTTGCAAAAAAAACTGGGGACAGAATTTTCACGTTTGTTTTCAGGTCTGTGTTTTCTGTTATATTGCAGATGGCTGTTACTCTATTTGATCAATTTCCTGCAATACTTTTTGTTTTTATGGATAAAGGCATTGCCACACATTCTTTCATGCCAACGCTATAATTTATAATCCCCTGTTTGAGCAGATTGCCTTCATATTCTTCCCATAAAAGCTTTCAGAAGTTTGTTCACAAATACTCCTTTTCCTGAAAGGTATGTAAGAAGGTAGACAAGTAATATTAAATTATTAAGGAGAAATGCTTGTTCTACAATACTGCTATTCACTGGCTTCTGCAAGTCATATTGATATTTTAGAATTTTCTCTATACATTCTACGCCTAACATTTTATATGCGAATTAATTCATGTGTGGTTCACTCTAGAAAGTGGCTCACGATCATGTGCTTTTCTGGATATACCTATTACAATGACACATCTCTGGGAACACCATCAGCACATTATACTCCAATACTTCAATATTTCTATTACCGTTCAATAGCTTTCACTGACTTTTAGCAGGACTGTAGTACCTGTTCTACTACCCTAGCATAATTCACAACTCTGGTACCAGAACATGACTTTGCCTCTAGAGTTTAAGATCCAGTAACAAAAAGCTATTGGTAGTAGAAGATCATCCCTGTAACATGAACAAAAAACTAGTGCACTAATAGATTACATTTCCATACTACAAACTTTCCTAATTTTCTCTAAATGATCTGAAACACAAACCCTGGTCTCTTCCAAACTTTACACTTCGAAACACAGATAGGTTTTCCCGCTACCATTGGCTTTGGCTCATAGTATCTACTTTTTCTCTGTTTAGACTTCAATTTGTTTGTTCCCCAGAGGAACAAACCTCCACTCACCTCCCACTTCAGTAGTCCAGCTACACTCATCATTAACAGCCATTAATATATCGCAGCACAGCATATAAAAGAGGTATGAAACCAGAAGTGAGATGGAGCAGAAAAAAGCTCACTTAATCCACACGCAAAGCAAAGGCGGCCTACAGCTGATCCACTTCTCTCATTGAAAAGAGCAAACACCATGTAAGTTTCCAAATGTTCTTTTTCAAGCTAAAATAAGCAACACAGATGTTCATGTGCATCATCATTTTTCAGTATAGTGTACAGATAGTATTAAAAAACTTTTAGGCTAGTATTCTATATTCATGAGTGCCTTCAGTGAAGTTACTTTTAAGGATGCTGACATACCGATTCAGCTACATCAACATTTCGGACGGAGGGGTCAGGTGCCACCTCTGGCCAGTCAGAGAGCTCCAGGTAGCCAGTGGCTCGGCTGTTCAGTGTGTGAGACAAGGTGCCAAGCTGGAAATGATCCCGATCTATTAAAAAAAACCCCAAACAAACAGGAGGGAGGGAAGAAACACACAAACATCAGAAATGATCTTGATCTATTAAAAAAAAAAAAAAGGAGAGAGGGAAGAAATACACAAACATCATGAGCTCTACCACAAAGAGCAATCTTAATCAGGGCTAAAGGTAATTGCCATTATATTACCTCAAATGTCATGGAATAAATATAAACTAGGAAGCTCTTCATAGGTCAAAAAACTGATTTCAGTCCATAGATTACAATAATCTCCCCCATAATGGTCAATAAAAAAGCTAATCAGTCAGTGTGTTTAGAGGTGTTGCTCTGAAATGTAGCTTCTCTAAAAATTACTTTACTGTGAATATTAAGAATGACAGCACAGTTAAACAATCCATATACATGTCTTGGCACAAACACATCCAGAATTTTAATAGTTTTTCTTCAAAATGGAGGTTCTTTTACAGCTTCAAAACTGGGACAAACTAAGTATGAAAATTAAAATTGCAAACTGTCACAATAACAGAGCGTTTTTAATTAAGATAAGCTGATAACCTTTTAATTCGAGACAAAAAGACAATGGTTCTTACATGTAAAAAGACAAGGAAAACATACAGGGAAAACAGAAACTTCGGAGAAAAATAATAAAAATCTCATCTATTGAGATGCAATTTATTTCAGATTCATAAAGCATTTGCAATACTTACATAAATCATGTTCTATTAATGTCCAGATAAAAGACTAAAGCTTTTCCTAAACTGAAGAATAGTTTTCCTCAAAAGACACACCTTCTGTTATTTAAATCAAATTTCAAATCCTCATTAATAGAAAGTGATCAGTTTGTCAGGGTTTATCATCAGAGAAATGCTCTGTGTTTGCACCATGCAAACCTTGCTTGCTGAAAAGCAAGTAAGCAGAGCAAGTACACTTGCATATTAATCATTTGTATTTGTTAAGTGACATGATTTGTGAGCATATTTGATACAGAATAGGCTGCCACATTCCTTTACACAAGGAACATTTCCCAAATGATTTTGGCAGTTATACCTTTAAAAGGAGACTCAAGCAACGGGGCAGGTTTCTGTGCCAGAAATATTTTTTTGGCATATTTGCTTAAAGCTCCACTCTTCTCATTCGGAACAATAAGCTGCCTAATAAATCTTGTACGGTCTCTGATGTCGTAGCTTTGATCATACTTGCCGAGATTTAATACGTACTGGGTAAGCAATTTTGTCTGTGGAAAAAAACAGGACAAGAACAGAATACAAGTTATTTATGATTATTGATAACTCTGGATAAACATATTTAAAGAGGTAATAAAAATGAATGGTTATGTCAAACAAATGTTGTTCCACAGGGAATATGCATTTCTAAAGCTGCAAATGGAATTCTGCAGCCAAAGCACATGTCCTCTTCTGTACTGGGGAGGTGAATGCTGAGTACTGAGAAGCAGCCATGTGCTAGATTATTAAACTGCTGAAGTGGAAAGAAAGGCATCATTAAAAAAATAATCATATATGGCAAACCCGCTGAAGGGTCTACGTGAGGATAATGAATGTGGAAATACAACTAAAAACATGGCACTCAAAACTTAATCGGAAAAATATGCAGGACATCAAAACATCAGAGGGTATTAGGGGGCTGGCAAACTGCTTCTGCTGAGGTGTGTTTTATGAAGAGATACTGTCCCTGGCATAAGCAGTGTCTGCACTCTGACTGCACTCAGTTACTTTATCCTGAATTATGACCCATTAAAGCAGACACATGAATCACTGAACTGGATTACTGCAAATTATTTGCAGTGCATTTAGCTGTTACTTTTTCATAAAAGCAAGCTGCTGATGCCCTCTAAAAACTAGGATAAAAGACTTCTTCCATTTTTTTCCTAAAGCTTAAAGCCTCCAGCAATATCGGTCATTTATTTATTTATTTATGTAAGAGAGCAACTTGTATTATCACAGCTTTTTACAGCATAATAGGACTTTCTAATTTGATGTCTGAGAATATTAGCATGTATTAAATAATTTTAATAATTCACGTAAATTTTTAAAACAAAAAAAATAAAAATCAGGGAGGCTTTCCCAATATCTTACAAATAACATAGTGTAACCAGAACAATAGTGTGGCTTGTATAGTTAGATATATTTGAAAGAAGTATGCCACTTTCTTTATATGCAAATAGAAAAAAGAGCAAAAATAACATACCATCATAAAGAAGTGAATTTTTAGTATTTCAGCTCAAAACAGATGAATAACACAGTGCTGAAAATGTATTGTCAAGGAGGACTTCTTTTCTTTACATAAAGAGACAACCTTGCACATGTATCTTGTTTATCATGCTATTTTTATAACAGTAACACAGTTTCAATCACGTGAGTGGAAAAAAATGAAAAAAACTCAGTCAATTTTTGTATGTCCAGATGGTTAAGAAAAATTCAATTTAACAATTTCCACCTTGAGGGTGCAAGCTGAAGTTTTTTTTCTAGAGATGTAAAACACTTTTTCAGAATATTGATTACCTCCTGTAAGTGAAATACACAGTAAATAAAAACTAGGTTTAATTTTAGACACGTACAATGCAATATATGCAAACATTTCACAAAATACTTTATGGTACTGAAGATAAGGAATTAGTTGAATTAGAATAATAGCAAAAGCATACCTAAAAAGCCTTTCAGTGAAATATTTTTCATTTCTTCCTTCCCTCTGATACCCAAGGACGGTTCTACAAAAGGCATTTTTTCCCCCCCAAGGAACTGTCTAACTTTCCTAGCTCTAGGAAAGGTAAAACTTTCCCTTATGTATTTCACAGCTTATTGGCAGCTGTTTCTATAATAGGATATAAATTCTGAACAATTGCATCGGACAGAACATACACAACCTGCATTCATGCAAGCCTTAGGCTGTTCGATTTAAATGGAATTGGAAGGAAGGGTTCCCAGGTAACATGAATTAAATGAAATGAGGGGTATCTCCTGCAGCCCTTGCCATCACTTTTCCTCTGTAAAACTAAACAGGACTCCTTGCTGCCATGGCAGAGAGCTCAGCAGAACAGACTATAAAACACAACGGTCCTTGCCTGTGAAGTGATACAGGGATGGGAAAAGTTGAGGGCCTTGCTACCACGACAGACACTTTACTTTTTCAGTGAGCGTTGATTAAATTAGATGAGTTGATCCTGAAATTCTGCATTTTCTTTGATGGGAACATTTTCTCTATCATCCTTCCTCCTTTTCGTCCTTCCCTTTCTCTCCTCCAAAATATCTTTTCCACGTCATCCAATACAGATAACAACACAACAAATTTACATGGAAGAATGCTCCACATCTTTTTTTTTCTTGTGTTATGGCAATGCAATCAAACAAGTAGCGAAGCTTTTCTATAGAGGTACCTAATAAAACCAATTAATTTTAATTAAAAACATAAAATAAAAACCCCTTAATGGATACACATTAGTTTTTGCAACAAAGGAATATCCATAAGAAGCCAAAAATTATTTGAGCAAGCACATTAATTTCGAGAAATGTGACAGAACCTGCATACCACGACTGCTTCACAGAACAGTAAAACAAAGTACTCTGAGATATGGCATAGTATATTTATTATCATATGTCAATATTGTCTGTTATCTGGACCTGCTCATTATATAGGCGCAACATAATTTCTTTTATTCCCACACTGTTAGAATTTATTACTATTTTTCATACATTTTGATTTGACAAATATGAAAGTATACTTCAAGTCATTCTTCAGCAACATTTCTAGCATTTTTAGGAGCAATAGTTCGATTTAAGAATTGATTGTTTATACTATATTAACAGCAATGAACCTTCTCATAGATTCCTGGAATGTACAGATGACAACTTCCTCCTCCACGTAATAGAGGAACCAACGAGGAGAGGTGCCATGCTAGACCTCGTTTTCACCAACAGGGTGGGGCTGGTGGGCAATGTTAAGCTCATGGGCAGCCTTGCTGGCAGTGAAGAAGGAGAAGCTCAGCAAGCTTGAAACCCTTGACTTCAGAAGAGAAGACTTTGGCCTCTTCAGGAACCTCCTTGGTAGCGTGTCATGGGACAAAGCCCTGGAGGGATTGGGAGCCCAGGAAAGCTGGTTGACTTTCAAGGATCATCTCCTCCAAGTTCAAAGGCACCACATCCCCAAAAGGAGAAAATCAGGCAAAAACGCCAAGAAGCCCGTATGGATGAACAAGGAACTCCTGGCCAAAATCAAATACAAAAGGGGAATACAGAAAGAGTGGAAGCAAGGGCTGGGATGATTACAAGGAAGTTACTCAGGAAATCTGAAACCACGTTAGGAAAGCTAAGGGCCTGATGAAGTCAAATCTGGCCAGGGACATTAGAAATAACAGAAAAAGATTCCACAGATATGTGAAAGAAAAAAGAAAAACGAGAGAATGTGGGGCCTCTCCGGAGGGATACAGTCGACCTGGTTACTGAGGACATGGAGAAGGCTGAAGTATTTAATGACATTTTTTCCTTCGGTCTTCACTGGTAACCACTTGAGTGACTCTACCCAAGTCACAGAGCGCACTGGCTGGGAGAATGAAGAACCACTTAGGGTAGGAGCAGATCAGGTTTGGGAACACCTAGAGAACCTGAAGGTGCACAAGTCCATGGGACCTGATGAGATACCTCCACAGGTCCTGAAAGAACTGGCAGCTGAAGTTGCTAGGCCACTGGTCATCACATTTGAAAAGTCACAGCCACAGATTGGAAAAGGGGAAACATAACCCCCATTTTTAAAAAAAAAGGGAAGCTAAGGAAACCCAGGGAACTACAGACTGGTCAGCCTCACCTCTATGCCAGGTAAAATCATGGAGCAAATCCTCCTGGTAACACTACTAAGGCTCATGAAAAATAACGAGGTGATCGGTGACAGCCAGCATGGCTTCACTAAGGGCAAATCATGTCTGACTAATTTGGTGGCCTTCTATGACAAAGCTACAGCTCCAGTTGATACGGGGAGAGCAACTGACATCATCTACATGGCCTTGTGCAAAGCGTTTGACATTATTCCATATGACATTCTTGTCTCCATCCATCCATGATGCATGGACCACTTGGTGGATAAGGAACTGGCTGGAAGGTCACACTCAAAGAGTTGTGGTCAGTGGCTCAATGTCTACATAGAGACCAGTGACAAGTGGAGTTCCTCAGGAGTCTGTTAACGGTCCAGTGCTGTTCAACATCTTTGTCAGCGACATGGATGACGGCACTGAGTGCACCCTCAGCAAGTTTGCTTTTACCAAGCTGTGTGGTGCCGTGGACTCACCTGAGGGAAGAGATGCCATCCAGAGGGACCTTGACAGGCTTGAGAAATGGGCCAGTGTAAACTGTATGAGCTTCAACAAGTCAAAATGCAAGGTCTTGCATCTGGGTTGGGCCAACTCCAGGCACAAATACAAACTGGTTTCAGAGTGGGTTGAGAGTAGCCCTGAAGAGAAGGATTTGGGGGTGTTCATAGATGAGAAAACACAAGAGCCGGAAGGCGCCCCGATGCATCAAGAGGAGTGTGGCCAGCAGAGCAACAGAGGTGATTCTCCCCCCTTACTCTGCTCTTCTGAAACTCCACCCTGAATATTGTGTCCAGTTCTGGTGTCCCCACTGTAACAGGAACATAGATCTGTTGCATCAAGTTCAGAGAAGGGCCACAAAGATGATCCAGGAGCTGAAACACCTCTGCTATGAGGACAGACTAAGGGAGCTGGGATTGTTCAGTCTTGAAAAGAGAAGACTCTGGAGGGACCTTATAACTGCCTTCCAATACCTGAAGGGAACCTACAGAAGGGCTGGGGAGGGACTTTTTACGAAAGTATCCACTGATAGGACATGGGGAAATGGATTTAAGTTAAAGGAAAGCAGATTTAGATTGGATCTTAGGGAAAAACTCTTCAGTACAAGAGTGGCAAGACTCTAAAATAAATTGTCCAGAGAAGTTGTGGATGTCACCTCCCGCGAGGTGTTCAAGGCCAGGTTGGATGGGGCCTTGAGTAGCCTGGTCTAGTTGAGAGGTGTCCCTGCCTATGGCAGGGAGGTTGGATTAGATGATCTCTAAGGTTCTTCCCAATCTAGGCCATTCTATGATTTCCACTTGAAAAATTTCACAATACAAGGACAACCAACAGATGAGACTCCACAGTGGGAGAGAAACAGCTATCTACCCACTCTTTGATATCATTAGCTTGCAGTAACTTCATTCTTCAGACATTTAAGACAAAGTTGTTGTGCTAAACCATGTTTGACATACCTATTTACACACTAGGACTACTTGGGACTTTTTATGATGGGACTGCTACTGTCTTACACAACAGAAACACATTAAAATCTCTTCATTCTTCTAGCATATGCAAGAAACAGCTAAGGTAATCAGAGGACGTATTTGATGCCTAACACTTTATCTTATATGAGCTCCATTTAGACAGCTATCTAGCACATTCCTAAGAATTTTTACATCCCTAAGTGATGTGAAAAGGAAGAAAGTTTACCAAACAACACAGACAACCATACATGTTACACATTTATCCAGAGAGGATTCAGTCTGAAATTGTTCTTTAAATTACAGACAGCTTTTCAAAATTAATGGGGTGATCACAGTTTTTAAAGGATAATGGAAATTCTTATAAAAGATCCTGAATCTTAAAAAGCATTCCTGAGAATATGCTGCATTAAGTGGCTGAACATAGGCCTAAGGAAATTATCAGCAAATAAAATAGTATCTTTACAGAAAGGGAAAAATAACAAAGTCTTATTTCCTCCAGAATTTTGTTCTTTTCTCCAAACAAGACTTAACTGATGAGTTTTATCTGCCTCTCCCTCACCTGTGGAAAGAGCTCTTTTTGTCTGTTTGGTTGGTGTTGATTCTCTCTTGGCTATCCTACCTCTACTTTTCAATAAAGTGACATTCTAGCTTTGAGGTTTTCACAACTCCACTGACTTTAGATGAAACTGATAAATGATTCAAAAAAGCGTTGTACGATGGGGTAGGATACAGAAAGAGAAAGCACGGGGATGAGGAGAGATGGACAGACTGACAACTGAGCAGTCAAGTGTACAAGATGTGCCTTCAAGTTTGAAAAATTAAGACTGAGAAATGGCTGGATTTTTTAAGAATTGAAGTCATTCCAGACAGAAACGTTTAATACTGAATGAGTAAGGAATTGTTACTCCTAGGAATAAAGATGTAGATATAGAAAAGATGTAGATATAGCAAGAGTGTTGCCAGCTCCTAAGGGCAAAATCATCATATTCAAGTTTGGAAGGAGCTTTGAACCAAGCTAAGTCATCAAGCTACTCTGTTAGAATTTTGTATATAAGTAAGTTGACCACTTGAGAAGACAACTTAATTTTTCACAACCTTAAAACTAAAAGAGGAAAACACTCTTTTATGAAATCTGTCTTACAGTAGGCATCTCAGAAGACAGTTTCTTCTGGCTTATGAGTACTGAATTTGAATAAATGGTTATGCCACACCAGTTTAAACATGTATTAAGACATGACACTGTGAAAAAAACATCACAGAAATCATCTCCTTGTAGGCAACTGATTTTTGGCCGAATATGGTGTGGAAAAATCAGTGTAAAATGACAAATATCATATGGAAAATTAGTAAATATCATGTAATGGACTGAAATGAAATGATTCAGATAATCAAAGCAAGCTCAGTCAACTGTTCTGTTAAGATGAGCACTAACTTTTGTTAGAGCTCCATTTTAGACTGTATAAACAAAGGACAAGCATTCATTCTTATCTAAATGCATGGCAAGACAATTCATCTCCCACATGCCCCACAGAATAAAATCTCAGACAGATCAAGCCTGCAACCGAATATAGCATCTATCAAGGAACGAGAAGACATCACAGTTGCAGAGGTACAAAATCCTTTGCTGTCCAAGCTGTTGTAAAGCAAAAAGGTCTAGTAAAAATATCTTTGATTTTACCACCTTCTGTAGCAATAATTGGAATTACAGAGAAAAAAAAAAGTGTCACAATGCTATACTACATAGCCAGAGACTGATGAAGTTCACAGAGCTATCGAGAAGAATGAGGCAGCTGGCAGCTCTCATGGCTACTGTTTTCAGCTGCCTGGAGATCTAAATTCACCTTTTAGTATTATCTGGCATTTTTAGATTATAAGATAATCGAAATGTACCCTCTCTACAAGGTAAAGAAACAGATAAAGCAGTTACTGTCCTTAAGATGAGCACTGATAGAAATACACCAAAAGGCCTTTGGATATTGTCTCCTTTTAGAGATGAACAGCTTCTTGTTCAAACTGACAGTAGTCCCTTGAAAATTCTGGTCTTAGATCCAGAAAACAGCAAATTACATGTGGAAAATCTATCTGATATTAGTGATGCATGTACAAATCTTTCCGATTTATGTGAATTTAAAAAATCCAGAATTTCCTAAGAAAGAGGCAGAAAAGAGTGATTTCATCACTCCACGCATATTTACAATCTAGCGCATGCTCAGACTCATGGTTAGATTTAGTCTGTTAGACTTCTTAAATTACATTCAGCTTTTCTTCACAGAATAATATGGACGTGTTTTGGTTACTTATATAAAATAGATCACCACTGATCTATACAAGATGTACAAAACCTACAATTACTATAAATATGTACACTTCTGAGTTTAAGCTTACCTGCTTTGAGTTTGTTAAATAGAGTTTTGCACCCAAATTTAAGATCTGCAACTTCACAAGGTCGTCTTCGTTAGTGAAGGTCTTGGCTGTTTTTCTCAAAACATCAGGTGCGATCTTTGGAACTCGTTCACAGTACTCTCCGATGAGCCAGAGAATGCTGGCTCTGGCTACTGGAACCTGAGAAAACATTGCACGTTCTAAGTTAACACATTCACAAAACCTATGTACTTGTACATATTTGGGTTTAGTAGCAAATTAAATGGCTTAAAGGTAATTGCCATGCAAGAAACACATGATCCAAATTAAGTACTGTTCAATACACCTACGGCAGTAGACTGAAAAATACAGATCCTGCCCCAAGATTCATGTGTTATCAGTTGACATTATGAACAGAGCATGAATGGAAAGAGAGGCACACAAATGATGTGTTCATGTTCATAGTACAAGCCGGTGGCAGCTGGGAAGAGAATCCAAGCCATCAAGGTGTGGTTGGGAATTCTTGCTGCCAGGTTATGCTAAACACTATGCTGAAACAAAACAGTGCTTTCTTGGGACTCTTAACGTAGAAACAGTTTCCAATAATATAGCTTCCTCAAACAATGCTTAGCTACTATGAATTTCTTTAAAGACTATTGCTATATTTCCTTAATTTTTCTTTAAAATTTTATGACAGTAAGATTCATATCTTTTCAAACATCCAAGATGAACTGAACACAGAATTTTGGAGAAACCCAAGTTGAACTGAGGGTTCTCAATTCCTCAGTATGATCTAACCCTCTGACTCAAAACATTCTGACCAGAAACTTCCCACAGGTCTTACTGTTTTGGAGCTATTCGATTGTTTCACTGAAATAACTGACAGTACCAGTTTTCAGATGAACTCCCAGCACACAAAACTGGCTTCAAAAGCACAGTACTGTCACAGGTGAAGAGGAAACAAAAGGGAAAAGCATAGAAAAAAACAGAAGCTTGCGCTTCAAACAGAGTTTAACTAGAAGTAGCTAGGAGTTTAAATAAAATAACGTGCATACACTCTTCTCAGCAGTGAGCTAGCCCGTATTACCTGGTGGTCAAATTAAAAATTGCATCTGTGTTACATACTTCCGTGAAAACAGTGTTCTCCTTCCTTGAAAGGAAGGAAGAAAGTATGTGATGAGAAAATTCTTCTGGATAGAAGAATGTCTTGCACAGCATCTACAGACTGTGGTCCTCTTACATTCTGTACAGACTCTTGTTTGACAGATGTTGAAATATTAGGGAAAAAACAGAATTGTTTTATCCTATCAAATGACTGACTTTAGAAGAAAAAGAAAGCTTCCAACTGTAACTGTAATTTCAGCTAATTTTGCTTTTTTCTTAAAAAAAGTAAAAAAACCTGTTGTACTAATACTTTCCATTACTCCCTACACTATACAGTGATCTTTATTAATAAGCTTACATGTGAGTCCTGCTTTAGGTAAGATTCATGGAAGAAAAAGCTTTAGAAATTCAGCATCGTAGTTCTCAAAGCCCTACTTCTTAGCATCTTTTACATATGCTTTAATTACTTTTCCAGTCATTTATTCATGAATGAATACCTGTTTCTCAGAATTATAATGGGAAACACTATTAAGTATGGGAGCCAATTATTAAGTATTCTACTCTGTGTTAGTACAAAAAAAAATAAATTATTGCTTTCCAGTTACATTCACAAAATATAACAAATGCAAGTAAACTACCAAGGTTCAGGATAGCAATTTCCAAACTACAGTCCACAGTTCCTAAAAAACGTCCCACCAAACCATATTAAAGCAATAGTAATTACGTTCACAAGAAAATTTAATGATTAAACATGCTTTATTGGTCAGAAAAGTTTGGGAATAGCTTGGAACAAAAACCTGACAATATCTGCCTCTATAATTGACACTGTTGCAAATACACATGCCAAGAAAAATACAAACAGGTATGCCATGAGGCATACCTGCTAAAAGAGAAAGCAACCAGATCATGGAAATGAAATACAGGAGTTCAAAAATACAAAAACAAATCCCCTCAAGAAATAAATGCCAACTTTAAATACAGAAAAGATATTTAAAGTAGAGGTAACACAGTGTATTGAGAGTGACATAACACAGTGATTTAATATACATAAATATATGTAAATACTGATTGTGATGCAGACAATTTTTTTTGTGAGCTGACAAAAAAATCAAATGCTCTTGGAACTTGTAGTGTGAGAAAAAACAAGCTATTGAATAACTGCTAAAAATAAAAACTTTAGATGCAGGCAGAATATGTTCGCCTACAAAATCCTAAGACTGATGTCATTACTGTACACTGATTTCAGAAGGAAAAGAGGTTATTTCTAATGTTCCAAAGGTTACACTGCATTAAGACCTCACTCCCAATCTATTATTTTAAATTGGGCTAAAGAATAGTAATTGAGTGGTACATTAGATTTTCCAGTATTGGAGCAGTTCAAGTTGCCCGCTGTACTGATAGATACCTCTAAATAAGAATATATAGGCAACTTCAGATTTCAGTTATGCTAGATTTGTTTTTCTAAAATATTTCATTACAGACTACTTAAAATATTAGAATTCTACAAATGATCACCAAGTACCACAGCTGGTGCAGCTGACTACAGAAACATCCCATTTTGTATTATTATACTTTTCATAAGGCAAAAATAGGTCACAGACCCAACCAATTTCAGTAACAGTATTAATTACGAAAGACAAATAAAAATATTGTACTTCTAGCCAAACCCAGGACTACAATTTTAAAACACAAGGAAATATATTTAAGTATATTTAAGCAGTGTGCATTTAAGCACAGTGTTTTAAATTTTCCCAGTTAGTAATTATTTGAGTAATAAACCAGTTTTAGAAAGCAAAATAAATAGACTGAACAAAGCCTAATTTGAAAAACAGCAGCAATGAAAGACAAATGACATTTCTTGTGCGACTCTGCCTTTTAACTAGGTGGTTAGCTTACTATGTAAATACTGTCCATATTAAACACAATTTTGTGCAACACGAATCAATATCAATTAAAGACTTTTTGAATCAAACCCTGAGTGGAAGCCATTTTAATGAAAAGTGTATGTCGAACTGATGAACCCAATGTTTCTGTGTCACTGGATTCATTTGGGGTCAAAATCACACAATATTTTCAGACTTCTTTTTTCCCTGTTTAAGCCTTCCAGCCCTCAATCACGTAATAATATGAAGTGCATGATCCTGCAGCCATTGTTTCCAGGTCATTCAAAACAGCAAACAAGGAACAAAGCTACTTCTAGACTTGCATTTTCTTTCCAGTATAGCTTAAGTGGGGACCTTGAATTGACAAAAATGCAGGAAATAATACTTTCATTATTCTGCTCTGCATCATGCTCAAACTCAAACAGGACTGTAAATTATTTTGTCTGCTTTTTTATTCCACACGCACATAGCAAGTGGTTCAATCTACTTTTTAAGCATTAGTAGCAGATAACAGCTTGTATGACCTTTCTGGAGGAAAATAAATAAATGGTTAAAACCCAAGAAACTGAAACCAACTTCCCTCTAAGTAAGACTCTGGTTGATTACAGCAGTTAGAGAAAGACATTATAAAGATTATACAGATCACTCAGAGCAGCACAATTCAAAAACTAATGCTGTTTAGCTCTAACTTTATTACACAACATACAAAGCTAAAGCACAACTTAAAATCACCAATTCTGATTACTCACAATCGCCACAAACTAAGGAGATGTTCAAATTGCAAATGAAGTCTAAAGCTCTGCATCCAGAAGCAATTTTGCATAGCTAGCAATTTCTAAAATTTTACTTGGAATCAGAAATGGAATGAGGTATGAAGTTGATGCAAAATGTCAGACTGATAGCAAAAAGAAAAGGTACACAGGAGTAAAACACAGCTGCTGTTTATTTTCAAATGGTAGACCTTCAAGGCCTCCTCCAGTATTTGACCCTCTATACATAAAGTTCCTTCAAAAAATGATCTACACTGACAAGTGCCGCCTCTTACACAGTGTACAGGTTTTGTTTAAATTGCGCTTTATTCAAGCTGAATATTTTTTTTCAGGTTCAGTGTACAGTTTCCCTGGACACTAGGTCCCAAAGACCACTTATTCCTCTCTAAACCTAAAACACTACACAGATACCAGAGCAAGTAAAAACAGATTACAGCATGAGAATTGTTCATTAAGGCATTATTTACCTCAGGGTTTAAAAATACATTATTAAAGTATATCCTAGGGAAAAGAATGTGGCTAGAATCTGAAGCTTGCAGAACTGAAATACAAATCAAAGTATGAATGTTACACCTTCCAAACATTAAGGGAAATGAGACCTTAAATTAAGGAAAGCAAGCCACCTCTGCTGTGAAGTTATACTAGAAACATAACAATAAGCATAGAAGCATAGGAATATACTGCAGAGGACCTTGAATTTGTTATCATCGGATGATTGGACAGAGCACTGTCCAAAACTTCCAGTCAGCTACTGTACTAAAAGAATCCCAACTCAAACCAGTAATTGGTCATTCTTAATTGCTTCCATAAATTACATGTTTTTCCACACATATTAAGATCTTCTAAGTTTCATGCATTATCTTATTTTTCCTCTAAATTTCCAACTCTTTATCCTGTCTTTATCCTGTCACACAGTGTTTCTCATCTCTAGTTTCTAGAAGGAACCAGGAGTGAGTCTTTAATGAAAACCAGTGATTTCAAAATTCACCAGCTATCAATGAGAAAACAAACAAAACTGCCTTTGTAGTACTATAAAAGAAAGTCTGGGGAAAAATCATGCCAGAACTACAAGATTCCCATCCCCCAGAAAACAATCATTATGGGATACAAAGTACCATCATAAGTTATTTTTATAAAAAGAAAAAGGCAGAAACTAAGTTGGAGACTACTGCAGCTTGCTCTTATGAGGAAATACACAAATGCAGAACACCATTGAGACCTTCTCACTCAGAGCTAATTCTTGCTAGGTTGATTTACATTTATTCCCTGCTAAAATGAATTAAGATAAATCAGAAGAGGCATACTTTGGATGTAAACAAAAGTGTCTCATGTTAATCCAGTTTTAATCAATGCAGTCTAACCAATCCACTTTAAACTTAATTCAGATTAAATTCGCAAGTATTCACACTTAGACCAATTCTGGACCACAGATGTTTTGAAGGAAATATTTTCTAAAAGAGTAAACCATATGACACATATTTGATGAAAGAATATTCTAAAAGCTTTGAGAAAGATCCTGAACAACGTATTTTAAAATGTCATTCTTCACAGGGTGGAAAGGCATTCTCATGAATAAAAAAGGACTAGATAACAGTAAAGACAAAAACCCAGTTAAAATGGAAGGCAATCATTGGATCTCCCACAGGGGCCTACAGGGGAAAACGTGCTGTTCAAGAGATTTTCAAGTAACCTAGAAAAGGCTATCTAGTGAGGAGACAGTCTGCTGACACAAAATTATTCAAGGTAATCTAAACTAAAACAGTCTGAACAGTTAAACATGACTTACTAGTAATACCTAAAAATCATGCAGAAGTGATGGAGCTGGCCTTGAAACATTAATAACAGGACTTCACAAATGATATTCTACATATATTGATGGACCCCAAACTATTTGCAGGGGAAGATATCTTGGAATCACCAGTATTTTCAGAGAATTACAGAATTGTTAAGTCAACAGTCTGCAGAAGTCAAAAGGCAGAAAACCTCAGGAAAATACGATAAAAAACACAAACCAAGTAATAAAATCATGTGACTGCATAAAATTTCTTCTTCATGCTGTGATTACTGCATGCACCTCCGGTCACCCCACTTCAAAAATCACTCAGGTATGAGGAAAGACAAAGAGAAGAGAGAAAGGCTTATCAGAGATATGCAATATGAGGAGATATTAGAATTTTTAGATTAATAAGTGTGATGATGTGGATAAAAAACTTCAAGTTTCCAGTCAGCGACTGAGAAGGTACACTGGAGGTGCATTACACTGAAACTGCTCCACTGTTAAAATCCCTCTCCTTAAAGCTTTGCTGCTGTTGAAGATAAGATTACTTTACTAAGAGGATTTTTGGACTCACACAAGAGTATCCTTCTTTAAATGGCCTTTTCCTATACGCATATTTTTTAAATTCCTGTCACTCTAAAAACTATACACACAAAACTAACTAAACCTCCCTCAGAGTGAACACCTAGCACAAACTAGCACTGCTTAGACATCTTGCTCATAACTTACCTAGTCATTAAATTGTAAAAGCATGATGTGGTTATTAACACATTAACAGCCAAATGGAAATATTTTTAGAATATTTTTAGACTTTAATAACCCAGAACTTTAAAGAGATCTAATCATTCTCTGGTTTAACATCTTCAGAACACTGTCAGATATGCGTTTCTTGGGTGCAACTTTCGAAGACTGTGGAGGAAAGGAGCTGGAATACAGCTAGATTGAGCTGTACTACGCACAGGTCTTGGTACTCAACAACTACCAGACACAAAATAGATGCCGTAGATCTTTGCTGGTACATACCTGAGACAAAAGTTTAAGGTAGAAATAACACAAAACAGCAAAGGAAAAAATTAACCACTCTCTTCAGACATGTAAGAAACGATTAATTAAAGAGCAAATTGAAATGGGCCTAGTCCTAAGCTTTACGGTACACGAGAGTCAGTAGTTTACAGGAGCTCAGTGGTTTTTAGTTGAACTTACTAACATTTCTAAATGGCTTCTGTAGATGAAGAAGATGAAGACAAGAATGAGTAGACTTTGTATTGGATGACCTGAAAGAAAAATCGCTGCAAAAGATTTTCAGGCAGCTCATCCCTGACAATCACAATCTCACGTTAACACAAGTGAAGTTTATCACAACATGAATGAAATAAATTGAGGCACTAGCTCAAAAATTTATTCCATCCAGTTTACACTGACTTATGTTTAGTTTAGTGGCTACATATTCACCATTTATCTAACCTAAATCATCACAGAATAATCAGAACATTAATTTTTACTTTAAGAGCTTTTCTGTTTAATTATGCAACTCTGTTCATGCTTTCAGTTGTGTTTTACATAATATTAGATTAATTTCAACTCTAAGGAGCACCAAAGAATTTTATTGTCCACACTGCCCCACCCTTCAGTTACTTTCAAGTTCATTCAAGACCGTATCATTTGGCTGCTTCTCCTACGTTCAAATGCAAGAGTCTTTTCAAGACAGTGGTATGCTCTTTCATAGAGGAATAGGGTAGTCCCTTAGGTTTCAATTTCAATTTAAAACTCAACCCAGAAATATGTTCCCCAATAGAAGAGGTCAGGAAAGAAAAAAGCTCTGTGTGAAACATGCATACAAAAGTGTGTATGTACGTATACCATATGCCAATGAGTTGTCAGTAAGAGTCAGGATCCTTGTTTTGTGTCTCTGTGTCTTACAGCAAACAAAACCCAAGGCAACTGTGTTATGTTAGCTGACAGCCACACCTACTATAGTAAGATCAATGTTTGAAATACCTGTGAAGATCTCAGGAATACCAGTAATGCTTGATCAAATACTGGAATTTCAAACTCAGACCTTTGGTAATTTTATAAACCAAATACCACCTTCCTACACGCGTGAAAACATGTTTAGCGTTTTCAGAAGTGTCTGAACCAGCTGGGTGTTGGACTATATGGCCTTTAAAAGCCCCTTCCAACCCAAACCATTCTATGATTCTGTGAACAAATGCATCCATTTTTCAAACATAACAGGTGCAAGTTAATTCAGGATAATGATATGGCATTCAAATTATAAATATGAACTTCTTCCAAATATATTCTTTAATCCAAAGTCCTAAACATACCAAGGAAGATAAATTTCTAGAATGTACTACTAAAAAATTTCAGGGAAAACTGTAAAACAGTATGTACAACAATCATCCCAGAGAGCCTACAGCATCATTACTGCTATTTTGTATTTGAATAAGAAACATGACTCAGATTTTGATTTTTAATTTCTCTTAAAGCTCTGTTCCACCACATTTCCCTTTTGTTTTAGGATTTCAAACTTTGTGAAATTCAACTATGGAAAACAGAGGATTCACTGATTTAGAAACTGTGTATTGCTCTACCATCAATAAATGCGTATTTCTACGAAACTGAACAGTCCTGTTTATAGCATCTACCGGAAAATAATTATTGGCAGATCAAAACCTCTCACCTTTGGGATATGATGCAATGGGGAGACCTTACAGTGGCCTTCCAGTACCTGAAGGGGGCCTGCCAGCAGGGTGGGGAGGAACTTTTTACAATGGCCTGTAGTGACAGGATGAGGGGTAATGGGTGGAAGCTGCAAGAGCACAGGTTTAGACTAGATATAAGGAAGAAGTTCTTTACCCTGAGGGTGGTGAGACACTGGAACAAGTTGCCCAGGGAGGCTGTGGATGCTCCATCCCTGGAAGCTTTTAAGGCCAGGCTAGATGGAGCCTTGAGTAACCTGATCTAGTGGGGGATGTCCCTGCCACGGTCCCTTCCAACCCAAATCATTCTACGATTGTATGATTCTATGCTCTGTAGCACGAATTGATGCCATCTGATAGTTTCTCTTTCCTCTTCCTTAAGATCATGACAAATTATGTAAAAAAATTAAAATTATGTTGTATTACTTCAACATATCTATTTATGTCCCAAATTCAGAGGAAATGGTGTGATTTTTATCAGTCAACGTGGAAAATAAGATATCGTACACAAATACTCACTGTAATGTTATCCAAGAGTTTGGCCATATGCTTAATAATTTCACCATGATGTGCTGGCTGAGTTTGCAGTAGTTTCTTAATGACAACAACACTTTCAGCAACTACGATTTCTGTTTAAGACAAAACGAATTATTAATTTTAAAAGCATTTATGCAAAAGAAAAAGCCATAAATAATTAATTGTAAAAGATCTTATCAGCTTTCAAAATTTCCTTTTAGATCTGAATTCTGTTTACTTGGTAATAAAGATGAAAACCACTCTACAAAATAATACAAGTTTAGCTTCCAGAATACAGTTATAAGCAGCAAAAAGAGGACAGGGAAATGTTCTAAATGTAAAAATATCATCCTATTACATACGTTTTTTTAAAAATGGTCTTTTAGTAATGGCAATTTGTATTTTTGCTTTTCAAACTGAAGAACAGCGTGAAAAAACATGTTTTTCATTGAAATCACATATATTCATAGGTAATTTGCTTTCTGTATTAAAAATACACACACATAATTTTCAAAGAAATATACAATGTCAAAAGTAACAGCTCATTCATAAACAAAAGAAACGTAAACATTTCCTTTGCACTTTCTCATCTTCTAAATGGTCTCTCTAATGTCTGTAGCCTAATCTCTAGTACATGCAAGCTCTCACAGGATTTATACCAAAGTCATGCACTGGAGTGCTTAACTACTGTAACAAGTAACATTCACAGCCTGATCAACTTGTACGCAATGTACAATTTTTGAAGCTGAAAAAAACCCCACTGGTGCAGAGGTAAGTTCTATTCAAGAGTAGGCTCATGCTGCAAGGAAAATGAAGGAAAGTCAAACACAGCCCAAGCTGAAACCAAAACAAAGACTACTGTAAGAGTTCAGCATAATTCTGATTTTCATTTATACTACGAAAAGAGAGTAAGTATTTCTCCTAAACTATCATGTTTTAACATAAGAAAAAGGCTAACTATCATTTGTTAAACATAAGAGAGGTAGAACTACATTTCATAAATTGATATGAAACATGGACCATTCATTCAGCAACAAAGCAAGCTGAAGTCTCCAAAGAACAATATGGGCAAGAGACATCTAATTTTTAACTTTTTTTTTTTTTGGAAAGCAAATTTCTTTGTGGAGAAAGGCTTTTCAAAAGCTCTGAGTATGTGTCATTATGCCCTAAGTCTCTGACATGCTTAAATTCCGGCTTGCAGCTTTTTGTGTCATTGCTTATTCAATATGATATCTCAGTTATTCTTCTAGACTAATTTCTTGAAGCAAGGTTAAGACATCTGCTTCACATATCTCAAGGTCTTGTACAATCCTACAAGTTCATTTTAGATTGTGTTTTGCCAGATATTAAAATATTAAGACAATTCTCAAAATTTTAAAGTTACAATCTGGAATATTTAGAGTGGGGGACACTGTAATCATAGAATCATAGAATGGCCAAGGCTGGAAGGGACCTCAGAGATCATCTAGACCAACCTCCCTGTTTTTGGGCAGGGACGTCACCTCTCGACTAGATCTGGCAACACATGACAACCTTCATCACTGAGTGTTTTTTGATACTATTTAACAAGAAGAATGGTTATGCAAAATAAAACTGAACCCAAAAACCTGAGTGGACATGAAGTTATTATGAAAATAATTTGTTTACAATGTAGAACTGATCATGATAAAACGCAGTAGATTAAGTGTCACCATAGGAACTACTTAAATGCAATCTGTGGGAGCAAATTTAAAGAATTGAACCATAATTCTAAGCAACTAAGCTAGTATGGTTCCCTTTACATGAGTCTAGATACCCAAAAAGTAGCAGCAACAACAACAACAAAAATATTAGTTTTTATTAGAATAAGGATCGGCATAGTCCAGAAAAAGTGAGGCTTTTTGAGACCTGCTTTGTGCTCATGAGGAATCCTCAAAAATGAGCACAAACTAAAAGACACATATTTAGGTTCAAAGATAAATAAAAAATTTTTAAAAAGCATAAAGGAGAGACAAAATTCTGAATGAGCAGTAAGAAAATTAAAAAATGTAACTTCAGGAATTATCAAAGAAAAAATGCATACAAGGCAAAGATAAATGAATGTAACTTTCAAAACGGTGTAAATTGCATCTAAAAGGTCATATAAGGTAAATCATGTTCTTAAAGACTAAATATCACAGAAAATCTCATCAGAATTCTTCTACAAGTAAAGGATGACTACAAGAGGTATCAGCAACTTATTGCAGAAGGTCATAGTAAAAACCTAGTATAATGTTCACTGCTAGTTTTCTTCAAACAATTTTGAAGCAATATGGAAATTATTACTCTGAGCAGGATAATCTCTGAAGACCCTGCAGCATCACAACTTTTCAAAAACCTAAAATACATTCAGTCATACAATGTTCTATTGCCAAATAATGATGTGTATAAAAAATTAACAATGTAGTGATAGTAGCTTGTGGGGACTGAATTACAGACTTTTTCATAACCAAGAATTTAGCCACATTTTAACATAAACTAAGAAAAAAACCTTTGCAAGGAGTTTATTACCAAAGAATATTTAAAAGCCTCATTCTGAAATACTACATTTGATACCACTGATAGTGAGTCAAATTTTCTTCCACTTACATTAACCAATACCTGCAGAAACTAAAACGTGCAACAGAAAACTATTTTACCCACAGTCTACAATTTGTATAATCACTATTTCTAAAAGCAGCACAACTGCATCAACTGCTTTTGGAAGAAATATACCAATATACCAAACCCCTAGCAAGGCTCTAAAGTGATTAAGTGCACTCTCAGCAAATTTGCAGATGACATCAAGAAGTGGGCCCATGTGAACCTCATGAGGTTCTTAACGGCCAAGTGTAAGACCCTGCACCTGGGTCAGGGCAAACCCCAGTATCAATACAGGCTGTGGGGTGAAGGGACTGAGAGCAGCCCTGTGGATGACACAAGGTGAATGTACGAGCTATATGTGAGCCATGAGCTCACAGCCCAGAACGCCAACAGTATCCTGCGCTGCATCCAAAGAAGCATGGCCAGTAGGTCAAGGGAGGTTATTCTGCCCCTTTACTCCACTCTGCTGAGACCCCACCTGCAGTGCTATGTCAGCTCTGGAGTCCTCAGCTCAGGAAAGAGTAAAAATGGTCGGAGGTATGGAAAACATGTCCTGCAAGGATGGCTGAGAGAGTTGGGATTGTTTAGCCTGGAGAAGAGAAGGCTTCAGGAAGACCTTATCGTAGCTTTCAACATTTAAAGGGGACTTTTAAAAAAGATGGAGACAGACTATTCACTAGGTCCTGCTGTGATAGGACAAAGGGTTATGGTTTTAAACTAAAAGAGAGTAGATTCAGACCAGATTTCAAGAATAAATTTTTACAGTAAGGAAGGTGAAATGGCAGAACATGTTGTCCAGAGAGGTTGTAGATGCCCATTCCTGGAAACATTCAAGGTCAGGTTGGACAGGGCTCGGAGCAACCTGATCTAGTTGAAGATGTCCCTGCTCATTGCAGATGGGGTTGGACTAGATGACCTTTGAAGATCCTTTCCAACCCAACCCACTCTATGATTCTATGAGTTATTAGGTTGTGCAAATGGGTAAAACTAAAGTTAAATGGCGATTATTAGAGATAAGTATGCAGACTAACATTATGTTTCTGCTTTTCAGAACTGCCTGAAGTCCAACCTTTTACCTGGTCAATTTTTCCACACTTATAAGTAACAGAATCATAGAATCACAGAATTTTGAAACAAAATGAATACACATGAACTGAACACTACAAGGAGTTGGTTTTCTTTTATGTCATTCTTACAGTAATTCCAATGCACACATAGGAGTTATCTGATGTCTTAACAGTTTCAGTGATTCTGCAACTGGCCCGTTCAAATTTATATAGATTGGTAGGAAAAAAAATCTTTCAACTATACATCCCACAATTGTGTTTATAATCTCTCTTATACACAATCCGCAATTTTCAGCAGAAAATGAAAGCCACTCATGTGATAAAAACCTGCCGGATCTCTAGTATATGCAGTACAAGCAGACAAAAGGGACCTCCTACAATCGCATCTGTCTCTTACACCTAAAATGACTTATGTCACAGTGGGGTCAGCAGTCAGCTGAAATTATCAAGGCAATTGCTTAAAGGAAATGTATCAGTCAGATGCCAAATGTCACACCAAAGAGTCAAAATAACTTTTATTTTGGCACCTCCTTCAGCAGACAAAGGAAGAAAAATCATTCTCACACCTCAACACGGCTTCTAGAAACCATGGGGGATGTTGAGAACTGCTCTTAAAATTTTCTCTGCATATTTTTGAGTGTGTCTTTAAAGTCAAATTTCCCCCATCCAGGGAAGGTGGGGCAATGGCAGAAATAAAACCACACTTGAATCACTGAAGCACACATAAAAACTGGAAAGTTCAATGATTAGCCACTCAAAGAGCTTTGTGAAGAGTTATCCCAGCTTGACTTGACTGATTCCTGAAGACGTTGTTTTGTGTAACGACACCCTAACTCTCAGCACCCAAGTTCCAGAATTACTAATGGCACAGCTCTTGTACCAGACATGGCCAGGGCATCTTGGCTGTTGGGTTGTATATACAGTCAAGGCCTTTCCAGAACAAAGGCACAGAATTAGAGGGCAGTTTTGCCACAAGCTCATTCTTCAGGATGCTATTTTGATTTGGCAGACCTAATCTGGTCACTTCTCTTCCACACTCAAGTGAATTCCCCATAGTAAGAAAACAGTGCAGAGAAAGCAGAGCCAACTCTGCTTTCAGGGACCTCAGAACCTGTTGGACTTGCAGCTTGGGCTTCACACTATGCAAAGGCAGCAGAATGGTTTCCGTAATTTGAAGAACCATGGAAGAAGTAGCATGGCAAACAGACTGCTTGCACATTTTGAGGATGAAAGTTGGAGGAGAGCAAGGTTAATCAACACTCTTAAATCTAGTCTCCTACACATGCTAAATCTCTTTTTTTTCCTCCCCTACCATGTCCAAAACTCTTCTATGTTCAGTAAGCTGTGACTGTTCGTAATTTCCTGCCGCCTGAGGAAAGATACCAGGTAAATTATACCATTCTATTCATTGCTTGAAAGAAGGAATAAAGACACTGTAGCTATGGTAAAGTAATTTGTCAGCTGCCAGGTTTAAAAGGTTCCCCAATATATCCTTTGCAGTCTTTCAGAACAGTAAGCACAAGATGATAGTTTTATTTGCTAGAAACCACTTAGAAACAGTCAAGAGCGCTAATCTTGTTGAGACTGACCTTTGTATACATGCACATGCATATGTGTGTATATATGTAAATGATACCACTTCGAAGAACACACTAAATTGAGAAGCTATGATAAAAGAAAAAAAGTATTTTCCTCTCACCTTAGTTTCTTCTCAGCAAAAAGAAAAACAAAACAGAAAATGGAAGGAAGGATTATTAAGTAATAATCTCAGTATTCTGAACTGATAGTTTCATTATTTTATTTAAGACAGAAAAAAAAGGGGGATTTATAGATGCTGAAAAAAGCCTTCTGACCTAGAGGAAGCTTGCTGGTAGAATTCAGCAGAATCAAGAACAAGCTTTGAAGATTTCATTTTTAATATGATTATTTTTGTAAGCAACAAGAAAAAGGTGCACTGTGCAGATGCAGCCTCATAATACAATGTGGGAAGGTATTTTAAACATAGTCGATAAACAGTAAAGTGTAAAGGGACATAAAGTCTGTGGCATTAGGATATTAAATTACATATATTAAAAATACCAAGTTATACACTGATGACTCTCAGGAATTTCTGATACAAGGTGAACTGGGAGAGAAGAAAGACCTGTAGTTGATAAACCAAATAAGAGAAAGCTCTGAGAACCTCAATGGGTCACAGGATGTCTATGTGCTGCTGAAGTCATGTCACTAACAAAGGCCTTTTGAGGATTAGCATCAAAAATATGTGCAGTAGCTACAGAGAGGAACTAATGCCACTTTTCAAAGCTTAGAGTAGATCCCATCTGTGTTGTCTGAACAATTCTGATTACTCCTGGCCACCTCAAAACCACACTCTGCCTTCTTCCCAACATTACCATCTTTAACTATATGTTTCTTAACTCTGTTTCCAATATTTAACCATAATCATGTAGACTATATAAGAATCTCCTGGTTATCTTATTAACTTATTCTGTGCATTATTCATTGGTAACTGGTAAGAACATACAATATTATCAGGTATTGATTTACAGTACTACTATATTGTATTTGACTTTATCTGCTCTTCGTTGTGTTCCCCAATGACTTGAAACTCCGTTTCACTAAATAAAAATAACAGAAGGCTAGATTACAAAATCAAGTCAAATTTGGGGCCATTTATCCTAAAACGATTTAATGTGTTTCTTCAGTTAGGCATTCATGCAGTAAAAAAACCCACATTCCAAGCTTCCAGCACCCTCTACAGGCTAATTGTTTTGATGCAACTAAACACACACGAGTAAAACTACTGTGATCTATGATAATTACAATAGCATGCTTTAATAATTACGGCATTTAGAGGAAAAACAGGCAAACATGTAAGAGCAGGCCACAAGGAATTGATTCCACTAATAAAAGACAAAATAAATAACCAGTGATTATGAAAGCCTTTTGAAGTGCTTCAAGTAAAAAGAAACAGCAGAATCACTGTTTTCATTCAGTCATGTCAGCTAAATTCTGTAAAAGTCAACTCCCATATACTTTTTAATGTGATCTGCTCTCTGTGACTCTCATTAAGAAAATGTTTCATGCCATCAGTTACTGAGAAAACAACAGAACATTTAGCTTACCATCCCTGTTGGACAGCAAACATACAAGGCCATTAAGGCATGTGTCAGTCACTTCGGTGATGTTGGTTGCGCATCTGCCTATGGCCTGAATTGTAGCTGCAGCAAACTGTTTATCCTGGCTTTTCACGTAAGTCTAAGGAAACAGGATTTTCATTAGTCAATACATAAGTCTTGTCAACCACAGACTTAACGTATTATCTTCATAAGACAGACATACTGTATAATAAATTCAATCGAGAAAGCTACATTGCACATCAGAAGTTACACATTTTTCACATCACTGTCACTTCTACAAGACATTCTCTTGCTGGCTCTGGTCACCCATGGCCATGCAAACCTACGATTTCAAGAAAGCTTGGGGCAGGGGGCAATTACCCCAAAACAGCGATTAGTTTATGTGCAAGGTTGGAGGAGTTGGAGGAGCTCTCCCTTTAGAGAGGTTTCAGTTCATTTAACCAGGAGCATCTGTGAAACTATGAATAACCTACCTGCCTGAGAACCAGTATCTTTCAGAGAAATCCAGCCAGAGAACCGAAGCAATGAAAATAGATATCATAAGCAAAGAGGAAAGAAAGAAGGACAGATACTGTTTCACAATCTAGGCAGAAGAGCTTGCTGATATATATATAGATATTGGAGATAAAACTGTTTAATCAAACAGCAATAAATGCTAATGGCCATATATTGCTAACATTAAGACCCTATTGTCTAGTGACTTACAGTGCAGTCAAATTGGCAAATATGTTTAAAAGAATTTGGAACGACTGAGTTTCCCATAGCTTTTTTTTCTGTTTTGGTAGCTGGAAGGAGAGTAAGAAACAAAACACTGAAACTCCTTTTCGCGTATAAAAAGCTCTATCATCCATTACGATGAGACAGTTTCATCTCTATTCTGAGAACATTTTATGCTGGAAAAGACTTGAAAAATTTAACTATAAGAATCTAGACGAAATATCCAATAACGGCAACTGGCCAACAGAGAGTGTTTCATATAAAAGGAATACACATTTGCACAAACCTGAAATTCTCGAAGCAGAGTTGATATGTTGGCTTCATTTGCTAAATTTGTCAAGATTTCAAGCTACAAGAAAAAAACAGTTTCTCAAAAGTTGTAATAAATTATTACAAACAGTACCACATATACACTGTACTTTTGTTATATATATATATAAGATAATACTACTAAAAATACCACTTAGAATTCAACAGAATATACCAAATGTCAGTATAAACTGGTAGCAGCATTGCACTCTCTTTGCAAGTACACACAGGTTTTCAAAGCAGGACTCTAGGGTTCAGTGATGCATTTTCTACAAGCCCTAGCTATAGTGTTGCATCGCATCTCAAATGGGATTGAAATACTTCTGGCAGTATGGTTTCTCATAATACACAACAGGCCTTAATGTATGAGAACCATGTGATACTCTAAGAAATAACGGAAATCACAACCGCATTTGGGGAGAAATAAAGGGTTCGTTACATTCAGATTACCTGCAGTAAGACATTACACTCAGGAGAAAAACAATTGCATCTATGAGACTCCTTAGATGTTAATCAACATCATCAATATCAGACCCTGAAAGGCCTCTTCGTTTCAGGTGAACAAGAGGATGATATACAACACTTGCCATATACTGTTAAGACGAAGGCTGTTTTAAGTTCACAAAATCAGAGAACGTTAGGGGTTAGAAGGGACCTTGAGATCATCTAGTCCAACCCCCCTGCCAGAACAGGTTGCATGCGATGGCACACAGGCGGGTTTTGAAAGTCTCCAGAGATGGAAACTCCACAACCTCTCTGGGCAGTCTGTTCCAGTGCTCTGTCACCCTCACAGTAAAGAAGTTCCTCCTCATGTTCAAGTTCGTGCCCACTACCTCTTGTCCTGTCACTGGGCACCACTGAAAAAATGACAGCCCCATCCTTCTGACACTCACTCTTTAAGTATTTGTAAGCATTGATAACATCCCTCCTCAGTCTTCTCTAGACTAAAAAGACCAAAGTTCCTCAGCCTTTCCCTGTAAGAGAGATGTTCTAGTCCACTAATCATCTCTTTAGCCCTTTGCTGTATCCCTTCCAGTAGCTCCTACTTCTTCTTGAACCAAGGAGCCCAGAACTTAACACAGTACTCCAGATGCGTCCTCACCAGGGCAGAGTAGAGAGGCAGGAGAACCTCTGTCAGCCTGCTGGCCACACTCTTCTTGATGCACCCTAGAATGCCATTGACCTCCTTGGCCACAAGGGCACATTGCTGGCTCATGATCATGCTGTTGTCCACCAGGACTTCTAGGTCTTTCCCCAAAGAGCTGCTTTCCAGCAGGTCAGTCTCTAACCTGTACTGATATATGCCGTTGTTCCTCCCTAGGTGCATTTCATTGCCCTACGCTTGCCCTTGTTGAATTACTTAAGGTTTCTCTCTGTTTAATTCTTCAGCCTGTCCAGGTCTCGCTGAATGGCAGCACAGCCTTCTGGTGTGTCAGTCACTCCTCCCAGTTTTGTGTCACCAGGAGATTTGCTGAGGGCACACACTTCACCCTCATCTAGGTTGCTGATGAATACATTGAACAGCCCTGGACCTAGTATTGACCCCTTGTTACGGAACACCACTTGTTACAGACCTCAAACTAGTTTGTGTGCCACTAATCACTACCCTGAGCTCTATCTTTCATATAGTTTTCAATCCATTTCACTGTCCATTCATCTTACCCACATCTCTTAACCTTGCCTATGAGGATGAGATCGTGTGGAAAGTCTTGCTGAAGCAAAGATAGACAACATCCACTGCTCTCCCCTCATCTACCCACCCAGTCATGTCATCTTAGAAGGCTATCAGATTAGTCAGACATGACTTCCCCTTGGTGAATCCATGCTGACTACTTCTGATAACCTTCTTTTCTTCCATGTACTTTGAGATGATGCCCAGAATGAGCTATTCCACCACCTTTCCAGGGATGGAGGCGAGGCTGACTGATCTGCAGGACTTTTCAAAGATGATGGAGAGTGGCCCAGCAATGACTTCTGCCAGCTTTCTCAGCACTTGCTGGTGCATCCCATCAGGACTCATGGCTTTGTGGATATCTAGTTTACTTAACTGATTTCTAACTTGATCCTCCTCAATCAAGGGAAAGTCTTCCTTCTTCTACACTTTCTCTGTTATGTCCAAAATCTGTGATTCCTGAGGGCTGGCCTGAGCAGTAAAGACTGAAGCAAAGACAGCATTCAGTAACTCTGCCTTCTCTGCATCTGTCTCATTCAACAGTGAACTCGTATTAAGACAGCTCTGTTTCTCTAAAGGTAAGTCATGACTCAGAAATCTGTTGGTATTTTTTAATTTGGATGCACACAGACAAGAACACTTAACTGATACAGTCCACCTGTATTTCTGAAGCAATTTGATGAGACCTGTTACCAAAGGCTCTTAAAAATACATATCTAGCACACATAAAAATCAAGTGGATAAATGAAAGAAAGGAATAAGCAGGGGGAAAAAAGAGACTATTTTTTAGTACAGTAAGGCTATCAATGGAATCCCACAAATTTCTTTGTTAGTCTTCTGCTCTTCAACATATTCATGGATGAACTATGAAAGCACTGAGAAGACAGATGACAAAGCTTTCAGAGGATGCTATAGAGAAATGAAGACAAAGGTGACTAAAAAAAGCTGCATGAAAACTTTTAATACTAGGTGACTGGTTGATAAAATGGCAAAAAAAATCAATACAGATATATGTAAAGTAATATTCATAATTGGGGAAAAACCCCTCAACTTAACAGAAAATTATAGGGTCTGATTACTACTAACTATAACTCAGAATTTGCAGCTAAAATAGGTAACTCTATGAAAATATAAACTCAATGCTAAGTAGCAACCGAAAAATCATGTTGGGAAACATGTTGGGAAGCATGTTGGGAAACAGAGCACAAATCAGAAATCTAAACAGTGCAGCAGATGAATTCAAGGCTGCTCCTCCACCTGAAACAATGCCATAGGTCTTGCCCTCCTAACTTAAAGCAGATCAGATGGAAATATTAGTGGTAGGGGGTAGAGAAAAGCACAAGATTTTCTTATGTATATAATAGCGTAAGCTGTCTTAAATTTTTCAGCCACCAAGAAAGAACTGAAATAATGAAATGAAAAAAATATGATTTCTACCTCACCTCTTCACCACTGGATAATCAATTAACATGGGAGTTAAATATATCAACTTTCAATTATTTCAGGAATGACTTTACCTGGATAACGCTAAGTCTTACTACTATTCCTGACAGTTTTCATAATTGTGTGGGGAAGACATTGTTGTCTCCAACTACCTCAAACTTAAATAGATTTAATGTTGGACTAATTAAAAAAAAAATGATGGGTTGAGCATAGCCATCTCGGATCTCACCACTCTGCAGATGTAATGAGAGTGCAACATGTAAAATGAAAATATGGACAAAATAATGTTTCTTTAAGAAATCTGTACCTTCTACTCCTACATACAAGTGCCTATGACAATCTAAAGCAAAACAAGAGGAAAGAAACATAACAGTAGACAATTTTTTAGCTATTGTTTTGTCAAGGATTTCATGTCTGTTAAAGATGAAGACTAGAGCAAATAGAAAGATGACAGTCTAAACCATGCATTGAGATGTGGCCTTGACGAAAGCCTGAAGTACTTCTCAAGTTGAATGCTAACTTCAAAGGAAATTTTAACACTGTAGAATTTTGCTTAGGGAAACAGATTTAAAAGCTTTTTTAAGCTAACGGTATCAAAAACTGTGTGATTTCAATTCTTTTCCCTAGAGAAGATTTTTCCTCCTATGAAAATAGCCAATCTCTCAATGTTTTAATGTCTGGTAAGATAAAAATAGTAATGCTGTGTATCACTGAAAGGTATCAAAAGGTGTAGTGGAAAAGACAGCCCAGAGAACTTTCAGACAGCTTGACAAGCCAGAAGGACACTTGTGAACTTAACTAAAAGCCACAACTCTATGCTTCTTAGTGACAAAAAGGAACAGGACAGAATTTTGTGTGTCATATCAGTGCAAGAAAATTTTACCTTGCTGTTGCAAAGAGATTTGTCCAGCAGTACATAGACAGATTTGTTTTAAACTTACCTTCAGTGTTTTGATCATTGTTGGATCAGTTGATCTAACATAGAAACTCTTCAGATACGGTTCAAACAAGCCCTGAAATGTAAAACATATTTAAATAGCTTGCCTATATTTCATATAAAATGTCACTTAGAAAATTCTGAACAGGGTATACCTTTCGCTGAATTGACATAGTGGCAATATTTTGCAGAACAATATACTGCACCTCCCTAGAATTCGAAAAGAAAAACAAGAGTTATTCTGCAAAATCACAGACACATAGAATAAGGCAACATGTCAAAAAAGTCCACTTCTACTGGAACCCAAAGCTAGTTATATATTTGACTTGGCACAAACATAGAAGGAAAAGAATTATTGCTAGCTGCTACATGTTCATCATCTGCTTCACAGGATGCATGATGAAACCACGCTTTTGTTTTAAAAAACTTCAATATGTAAAAAAATCACTAGTAACAGTCTACTTGTGCAATGCCTCTTGTAAGCTTTGTGTTTGTTTAAATCAAAAATTCATTTAAAACATTGTCAATCTTGCCATCTCCAGAAGTTGCTCACAGAAAACTTATATTTTGTCCACCATAATAAAACTTAAATATTTCAGCTTAAATAATACAGCTGAGAACAAAAACACATGTATTGTGGAAATGACTGCATTAGTTACAATTAGCAAGAATCACTATGACTTTTTTGGTCTTTAAAAAGTTTCCTAATAATTCTCAAAAGAGCCAGGGTCTACTGTGACTTACAAGTATACAATGGCAGGCATAACCATCTATCAAGAAGCAGTACGTTAATACAATCGATGTTGTCAAGCTATAGACAACAGAATTATGTAATATTCTAAACACAAAAACATTAAACATGTTTGGAGGATATTCTCATCATTAATGTATTAGTTTAAAAGCTTCAGCAGGAGTGAGCAAAAAAACCTGGGTACTAGTGTAAAGCTTTTAAACTACAGAATTTCCACTACCAATTGCTTAAAAAACAAGTAATAATTTGCATGCAATTTTTCTGAACCATGAGTGCTTGAATACTTTCATGATGCAAATCACATCCTAATAGAGAAATCGTCACATCCATTATGACCTCTTATTCAAAAGTGTCTAATAGCCCTGTGGTAATTACAGCTGTTGCTTATAAAGAAAACTAGATTAAGTATTTAATATATTTTAAACCTATTTTTATGTAATTCTTACACAGGTACACAGAAATAGTAAGCTGCATATGATGAACCAGGACTGGAAATAGCTATGAAATGCTCTTCCAGGCACTCTCACCCTAACTAGATTATAGCATATTTGACATTAATTTAAAGGCCATAGGCACATAACTTCAAGGGCAAACAGCAAAAGCTTATTTCAAAGTGGCTCTAATAGCAAAAATGTTTCACACAGACTGGTAACAGAGAAGAGACAAGCCATTCAACATAGGAAAATCAGAAGACTAGTACCATTTTAAGCACTAGTTGAGATACAGGAAAAATGTGATCTCTTTTTTGATGAAATTTAAGCATAAATAAGCAATAAACAACATTTAAAAAAACCCCTTTCAATCCATGAGTATGGGTTTACATCTATATATTACCTGTACACATGCTAATCTGCTTTAGCCATTTTACTTATCTTTGTATAAAGAGAATGAGAATCATACCATACTATAATACCAAACACAGAAAGAACATTTTTATCTGAAATAAAAGCATGAATACTCTACCAAGCCAAATTTTATTTGTTTATTAACTTTTAAATGACAGAGACATTAGCCACAGGTGAGCTGCAGAAGTTTACAGAGAGAGCTCTGAGGTGACTAGGATTACAGAAGTTCAAGCCCATCTAAGACAAGTAGTCTTGTTCAACAGAAGTGGGGTTTTTTTCAAAAAGTTTTCTGTCTGTTTGATGTGACCAACTTAAAAAAAGAATAATTTTCACTGCAAAGTTCTAGTCAAAAATGCCATGTTGAATTAGAAAGTTATTCTGAAAATATCTTATTATTGTGTCTTCTATTACCCCTTTCCTTACAAAGAATCTCTAATATGGTAATAGTTAACATTCTTATAATCATGGTTAAACAAGTATGAATGAAAAACTCTCAGAAAAAGTAGACATAACTATGTAAAGTAGAAACCTGACCTACCTATTACTACGGAGTAAACGCACCAATGACTTAGAAACAATACCAGCTTCGGATTTTGGTGCCAAATGCCAGTAAAGCTGTGCAACTGCCATTACCACCTAAAAGAATAACATTTAGAATGTCATATTAACTTCATAAATATCTATAACATTTACTTCAGACTTGCAGAAGTACCAACTCACTCTTCTTCAGAAAGCAAAGTGCATACCCACATTCTTCAAAACCAACAGGACAGATTGGGAGAAAAACATCAGAAGAAAGGTACTTTTATTTCTAAAATCAAAAGTAATTAAACACCTCTCATTCCTCTCAGTACCAACTGCATACTATAAAACACGATGACAGAGGAAGAGAGACAAAGAGAATAACTGCAGGTAAATGAAATGTTAAACATACTGATATCAGAGAATCATTGTATGTTAGGGGTTGGAAGGGACCTCAAAAGATCATCTAGTCCAGTTGCCGTGCCAGAGCAGGATCACCTACAGTAGGTCACACAGGAATGCGTCCAGATAACTTCTGAATGTCTCCAGAGAAGGAGACTCCACAACCTCCTTGGGCAGCCTGTGCCAGGGCTCCAGTGTCTCCATTCTCCTGACACTCATCCTTTATATATTTATAAATATTAATGAGGTCACACCTCAGTGTCTTCCAAGCTAAAGAGACCCAGCTCCTTCAGCCTTTCCTCATCAGGGAGATGTTCCACTCCCTTCATCATCTTTGTGGCTCTGCTGGACTCTCTCAAGCAGTTCCCTGTCTCTCTTAAGCTGAGGGGCCCACAGCTGGACAGAATACTCCAAATGTGGCCTCACCAGGGCAGAGCAGAGGGGCAGGAGGACCTCACTCAACCTACTAGTCACACCCCTTTCTAATACACCCCAGGATGCCATTGGCCTTCTTGGCCACGAGGGCACATTGCTGGCTCATGGGCATCCTGCTGTCCAACAGGACTCCCAGGTCCCTTTCTCCTACGCTGCTCTCCAGCAGGTCAGTCCCCAACTTATACTGGTACTTGGAGTTGTTCTTTCCCAGGTGCAAGACTCTAGACTTGCCCTTGTTGTACCTCATAAAATTTCTCTCCGCCCAGCCCTCTGGCCTGTCCAGGTCTCTCTGAATGGCAGCACAGCCTTCTGGTGTGTCAGTCACTCCTCCCAGTTTTGCGTCATCAGCAAACTTGCTGACAGGGCACTCTGCTCCCTCATCCAGGTTGCTGATGAATACACTGAACAGCAGTGGTCCCAGTAGCGCCCCCTGAGGGCCCCCACTAGACACAGGCGTCCAGCTGGACTCTGCCCCATTGACCACAAC